TCTATGAAAAATTTATTGGGCTTCCTACATGAACTGCATGAAAGCATGGATTTTTGGGGGGAGATGGACAAGTTAACAATACTTAGTCATGTGCTGGAGAGATGGCTCAGAGGTCAAGAGCACTGGCTGTTTTTCCAGAGGTCCTGAGTTCAATTCCCAGCAGCACATGGTAACTTACAACCATCTGCAGTAGTGGCATCTGATGCCCTCTTCTGGCATAAAGGTGTACATGCAGATACATAAAATAAACAACACTTAAGACACTCACTAACTCGGAGTACTAAACACTGCCATAGTATTTGTGTCAACATGCAACTTTACCCACTTTTCTTATTATTTTCATGTCTCACAGTTCAATGTGAATCTTAAAAATATACTTTCTATGTTAGTATATGGAGTACAGTTCTCAATCTCTAGTCTAAATTCTAATGCCTGTGGCTTTCTTTCTTTCTTTCTTTCTTTCTTTCTTTCGTCTGAATTTTTCTCATCCTAACTCATATTTTCCAGTTTTACATACCCAGTGATTAGTGGTCAGGTATTGGAAATTCTACTTTGTTGGCACTGGACATCTTTATCTTCCTATGAATATTCTTGAGCTAATAGTAAATATAGTTACCTGGAAACTGATCCTTTCAGGTCTAAATCCTCAAATCAGTTGGGCAGAATCACAGTCCTACAATGAACAGTTGATTAAGCTACTAAGGTAAGTCCCTTTCAAATACGCTAATTGTTTTTTCTATTCTGATTTACAGAACAACATAGTCCTTAGCTCTGTAGAAGCATCGTGTTGTGTTCCTCTAATATGCTGTGTGTTTTGTCCCTCCGTTTTCTGGTTTGTAATTGTGTTAACTAGCCAATGCTCTTTCATCTATGCTACTGACCTCCAGAATTTCCTCTGCAGCTCTCTCAGGTATCCCCTCTTCTTCCCTCCCTCCCCGCCTTCTGCACTAACTCTTCCTGCACTGCTCCTTAGCTCAACCCAATTGTCCATGGGTCCCGCCTGGCGTGTCTGTGCTGCAATGAGGCCTGAAGACAAAGAGCTGGGGTGACAGAAGCATCACTTCATGTATTTCCTGTGACTAATACTCAGTCTCTTTGTATGTTTTGCATGGGCTTTTGTTTTGTCAAAGTAGGAGTGTATGCTCAGTATGCGATTCCATTTTGTGCAGAAGTACTCAGTTTTACTTTTTCAGGGTTGACAGCTACTGATACTTTGCTCTTCCGTGACATAAGTGTTACTCATGTTACCTGCTGATTTTGGTGACTGTACTTTAAGACTTCAATTTCCTCCAGATCATTTGTAGTGGTATAGTATTTGTATTTTAGTAAATAAGTCTTGCCTGAAGACCAGAGGCAAAGTTAGAGCCACCAGAGGTCAGATAATGGTGACATATACTCTTAATCCCAGAATTTGGGAGAGGCAGATGGATCTCTGTGAGGTCAAGGTTACCCTGGGCTCCACAAAATTAATGTAGAAGCAAATCCAGGTGCTGGTGGCCTACACCTTTAATCCCAGTACTAGGGAGTCACGCCTTTAATCCCAGCACTAGAGGGAATATAAAATGGTAGGAGAGGCTTGTCTGCTTAATTTTGTGGTCGCTCAGTCTTGGTAGAGATAAGACTTCTCTAGTGGCCTGGCGGCTTTGCTTTTCTGGTTTTCAGGTTGAACCTCAATTTCTGTCTCTGCGTTTTTATCATTTGTGCTACAATCACTTGTTCTTGCTTTCTAACTGAACGTTTACTCCCAGTGATTTCCTATTTTTGTCTGCTGTACCTGCCTTTACATAATTTGGTCTATTTCTGGCGTTTGTGTACTGGAGAATGCTCTGTGACTTCCAACACAGCAAGAGTGAAGGAGGATGGTCAGAATCCCAACACTTGGGAGGCAAGAGGCAGGCAGTTCAAGGTCAGCCTGGTTCCAGGACAGGCTCCAAAGCTACAGAGAAACCCTGTCTCAAACCCCTGCCCCCCCAAGAAAAAAGAAAAGTATTTGAGAAAGACTTGTCTGAAGTAAAACCTTTGACTTTAAGTGTGAGAAGACCACAAGGCAGGAGGAAGTGAGGCAGCGGGAAGCACACCTTGTGTGATGGCTCTAAAGCAGAGGGAACTTTCTCACTAATGTGCACAGCCAGTGTCAAGGTGGGCTTAGGAAGGGACAAAGGAGTAGAAAACAGAGGAGACACGTGAATGCAGTAAGACCTACTAAGGAATTCAGAAGTTTCAGACATTATTGGTAGATATAAAATGGGAGTTTATATTTGAGTTTAAATATGGGTTTGATTTTCGAATGGGCCATATATGATGTGGAATCAATCTACACTGCTGTAATTCTGGTAAAAGACTGGTAAACAGGCTAGACTGAAGAAAACAGTGACGCTGTCGAATACCAAATTAGTGGTGAACTATAAGGCCTTTGTGGAGACTAGGAGGCAGGAGGACACAAGAAAATCAGAGGGACCCCAGGCTTCCTTCGTGAATGAGCAACGGGACGGATGGCATTAGTGTCACTGACTAGTCTGATGGCCCTCAACATCTTTCTTGAGGAAGCTTTTGGAAGCTTACTACCAGATACATAAACTTGCTTCTACACTGAAGCCTTCGGAAAGAAAATGATCAGAAATAGAACTACTAGCAGTAAAATTAAAATTTGAGGAGCCACACTGAAAGGGAAGCAGGAGGTCGCTGAAATGTTGGAAGTGAATGCTGACTGTGTAACACGGACGTGAGAGGAGTATCTGATCCCACAGCTCTTACGCTCTGTCTGGGCTGGGGTACAGTGGGCTCCTTTCGAAGGCTACAAAGCTTACATGCCCCCCCCCCCCACGCATGATCTAGCTTTTACAAAGTCTACTCATTTGACAACTGTAATGAAAACTTTACGGGGTGGGTCCCACTACCCTGGCAAACCACTGACATCAAACGCTGAAGTCACTGTTAGGTAACACAGAGAGGAGGGAGAAGATGAGAAAGACATTAGATCTTGAAGAAAAACTGCTACTGAGGGAAGAAATAGGATGTATGAAAATTTCATGTTGACTCGCATCTATTGATTTAAATGCAATGAAACCTCACACATACTCTCCCTCCATCAGATACAAAAACACCTCTGGTCCTCACTTTTATGTGTTCTTATGCTCTCTAATTTTCATTTTATATCAAGCCCCCTCAGAAAAGATGGTGATGACGCAACCAACGCCAGAGCTTACTTCTCAGAGCAAGCAGTCCCACTAGAAGCTTCCTTTCAAAGAAAACTGGCTGGAAGGAAGGCCTTAACTTCAGATAAAATTCAAAATACACAGTGGTGTACACAGTGATGCAAAGGGGCGTGCACCAGAGACCAACATTCCAAGGACACACCAGAGGCAGAAAGAGAAAGATCAGGAATGTGAGGTCACCCTAGACTACACAGCAAGACCCTCTCTCAGAATATGCCCCCCCCCAAACTCCCAATGGCACCCATGGCAAGATGGTGATGTGTTTAGACAGATAAACTCCACGGCTACATAAATTCACCTTAAGAAGCAATAAGCCATGGAATGCACAGGATGAAAAACTGGCTGGATTTCTTTCCAGAAAAGGAGCAATGTAGCAAAGAGCAGCTAGGTGGAAAAAGGGGATGTAAAGATTCTAGCAGTTTCATTCCTAGCATATGAAAGCAATGACCCGTGCAGGCCATTCCAAGAAGAAGGGGTAGGATAAGATGGCAGGCATTTAGTGAAGGAAACCAAGGCAGTAGGGTTGACATCACCTTGTGACAATAGCGTTATCTTTTAAGAAAGGTGCTGAGGTGGAAACGAAGACAGTTCGAGCGATAGAATGTCAGCTAATGCAAATGAGAAGGCAAATAACAAATAAACCTGATCATTTTTTGATACACACTCTACCTACCTGTCTAATTGTAAATGCCCACATCAGACCTCGCAGCTACAGCTTTATTTTACAAAGATGACTACGGCTTATGAAGCTGAGTGTTGGGTCCAAGAGACCGAAGACAACTCAGAGACACTTGGACACGTGCGTGCGGACACACCCACAGTTGCGGCCACCCGTGTCACCCGGTCTACGACAGGGCTGGGAGATGAGGACGGGGAGGTCGGCTCATTTGCTGGAAACACAGAGCTCCTTACTGAGATGCCCGGGCCCGGGGGCTGAGGGGTGACTGAAGGGTCCACGACTCCTTTCCTTCGCCCGGGGACATCAGTCACCAGCTTCTCCGGCGCCACGGGGCGCGGGTCACGGGGCCCCGGGGGCTGGGCGCGTAACGGGCCGCCGCGAGGCCAGAACGCCGCGCGCGCGCGCCAAACTACGCCACCGCGGAGGCCAGCGCTCCAGACACCGAGTCGCCAGCTTCGAGGTGGCGGCTGCGGGTCCCCTTTCCCCAGCCTCTCGCAGGACGGCGCGGGGGTTTCAACGCGGGGACCGCCGGGCCCCTCCATGACGCCTCCATCTGGGGCTCGGCGCCGGGAAGCGCGGGCCGGGTAAAGCGAGCGCGAAGCGTACTCACCGTCCATGGTCTCCCTCACCGCGTTCAGGTTGGCCGAGGCCGCCGCACCCGCGCCGCTGCCACTGGCCATGGAGAAGAGAAAGCCCGGGCTGGCGGGAGAGGACCTGACCCGGAAATGGAGCTCCCGCCTCTCCTGCCCGCACTCCCACCGCGCGGCCGCGGCCGCGCTCACGCCGGCCAAGCCCCGCCCCCGCCGGGCCGGCCCCGCCCCCTCGCGCAAGGCGCCGACGCACGGCGGCGTTGATTTGAATTTGGAGCCTCGTTCCCCAGCGCGGAACTTCGAGCGAGGAGTTAGCGTTCGAATTCGCTCCAGCGCCTCGACGCCATTGGCTGGTTCGCGGACGGCGGCGAGACGCGATTGGCCTGTCGCCTCGCCCCGCCCCGTGCCCTGGTTGGCCGGAGACAGCGCGGAGGGAGTTAAAGAGTCGGCGCCTGTGCTGGGCTGTGGGCTGTGCAGGGCATGCTGCAACTTCCTCGTCCCCCCGCGGGTGTAGGCACGTCCTCCGTGGAGGGTCAGGCCTGAACCCCTCTCTGGAGCTGGACACCTCTGGGTTCCTGGCTCCGGCCTTGCCTGCGCGCTCGCCCAGAGGTGAGGAAGGGAGCAGGGACAGGGGCACCTGGAAACTGAATGGTCGCTGGAAGTGACGTCTCTGATCTTTACCGAGGCAGCCGGCTCAACTTGGATCTGCCAGAAGTAAATTCCTTTTTTTTTTTTTTTTCTTTCTTTTTCCCCTGGCTGTAACCCTCTTGGGAAGGAATGCATTGTGGATTTGTGTGCTGGAGGAGTGGAGGTCTTCGGGGAAACTAGTTAAAGCCCCACCTGGACCCTGTCAATCACCCTGCTCTAGTGAGGACTAAAGTGCCTGGAGGAATAATTGCAGTTCTGTCTAAATTGCCGGGGTGTCCGGAGATGGTCGTGCTCTTTAATCTTGAGATCGTGAATAAAGAAAACGGCGAATAGAATTCGTTTGGTTGGAAAGGTCCTTGTGCTTAGTGTAATTTACTTGCCTCTCACTGGGCCAGATCTGAGTTGACCGGAGTGTAGTTAACCGCCCTGCTTGTTTGGGTCCCTGCCTCTGAAAATTGTTAGCACCAATGCCTTACCATTCCAGCTTCCCAAGTGAGTCCCAAGGGTTTTAGATCATCTGAGGAAACGTATAGAATGCTCTCTGGTAAACTCTATCTCCAAAACGCTTAGGTATGTATGGAGTGAACTCTTTGTGAAATGTTAGGTATATTTTGTAAGGGTTAATACCTGTGATACTTACTAGCTTTAATATGTATACTTCTGTTTTCTTTTTTAGTTTGTTTCCTGGGCTATGGGAGATGTCAGCGAGTTAAAAATGCAAATAACACCGGAAACTCCAGGAAGGATCCCTGTTTTAAATCCCTTTGAAAGTCCTAGTGATTATTCTGACCTCCATAAACAAACCCTTGCAAGTCCTTCTGTCTTTAAAGCCACAAAACTACCAGTAAGTTTTTCCTGGCTAATGTTTACAAGAGGTTTTAAACGGAAGTAATTGTAAATGATTTTAAATGTAAGTATCTTACAGAAGCTATGCCACCTAATTTTCTCGTGGTTCTTTTAGAAAGCAGGATATGAATGCTCTCAGGCATCAGATATGGTGGACCAGTTAGGGTCTCTTGGTACAAACTCTCCCACACCAACACAGAAGCGACTCACTTTTAGTCAGGAACCTGACAGGCTTTGCAAGTCACCTGGTCCCAGCTGCACTACTCATGTCCCTCAGATCAAAAGAAGCAACCAGGGACAGTGCGGAGACACATATGGCCGTGTTCTCATATGGAATTATGGGCACCGAAATTTGAATTTCATGTTACTTTTCTGCCACGAAATATTGAGACTTCTGTTTCCTTTTCCCCAGCCATTTAAAAACTCCAAGCCCTATTAAAGCTTGCAGGTTGTCAGAAACGGGAGCCATCTCCTATGCTATTGGAATAAATTCAACAAAATGAGCAATTTCAAAGTAGTGAATATATGCTATGATTAATATTTATCAGAAGGCTGGTACAAAGTGACCTGTGCTCTTTAGGTTATTAGAGAAAGCCTCGTCACTTTAGCTGATTTTACTGTTACTTGTTACTGACAACGTTCTTTTGATTCGTTAACCAGACTTCCCTAGAAAAACTGCAGAACTAGGTGTGGTGGTTACTTCTGTGTCAGCTTGACACAAGCTCGAGTCTCTAAGAGACCCAGTTGAAAGGGGGTAGCCTCAGCTGAGGAAATGCCTCCATAAGACTGGGCACCAGTCATACCTGTTGGACATTTTTCACATTAGCACTTGATGTGTGAGGGCTCAGTCCATTGTGGGTGGTTCCATCCCTGGGCTGGTGGTTCTGGGTTCAGCAGACTGAGCAAACTGGTAAGCAGCAGCCCGCCTCCCGGTTTCTGCCCTGTTTGAGTTCCTGTCCTGACTTCCTTCGGCAGCGAATAGTGCTGTGGAAGGGTCAGCCGAGTAAATGCTTTCCTCCCCAGCTTATTTTTGATCAAGGCATCTCATCATGGCAGTAGTAACCCTAATAGACACCAGGTGACTGTTTCTGCACATTTTATACCAGCGTGGACCGTGAGAGGGTGTGCAGGAGCCGTATACAGTTTCTATGGTATCATATCTGATTTGGCCTCCCAGTATCAATTGATTCGTGATAGTAATTTTGCATCTTTTAGTAAATAACGGAGGCAAAGAAGATAGTTCAACTGGTGGCATGCTTGCCATGTGCCGTGCAAGCACAAGGGCGTGCGCTGGATCCCTAGAGCTATGTACAAACGCCACTGGTGATGGATGTTTACAGTCCTGCTGTAGGGGCAGCAGATACAGGCAGGTCCTTGATCTACTGCTTAACCAGCCTAGATAAATATACCAAGGTCAGCGACAGACCCTGTCTTGGGTAACAAGAGGGATGATGCCCCAGATTGGCCTGCAGCCTCCTTGTGCATGTGTACATGTGCAGTCACACACACACTTGTACCCACATAAGCATGGATGTGGATACACACACAATGGTAAGGTGCAATAGCTTCAATGCAATTTCATGTTTTGTTTTTTGTTATTTTGGTTTTACTATCTGGTTTTATTATTTGGTTATAGCTATCTACATTTTTGAAGGTAACGTTGGTAGCATTTTGATGAACTATTTTAATTTGATTTCATATAGATGTTTACTTTCTTTCGTTAGACACCAGGGAAATTTAGGTGGTCTATTGATCAGCTGGCTATAATGAACCCTGTAGAAATAGACCCAGAGGAGATTCATCGTCAGGCCTCCTACTTAAGTCATTCCCGGTAAGTTTTCCTTTCTTGTGCTTAAGTATAATAACAGACGGTTAATTAAAGAGAAATAAGAACTTCTAAAAGCTGATTATATGTGTACGTATGTCAAGAAAGAAGAGATTTAATGTGGATATCTTTCCTTTCTAAGCAAGTTCAAACTATTTTGTCTAGAAATATACCTTGACTTAAAATTTTAGTCTATATAGGAACACCTTTCTTGTACTAGCACATGCGTGCACACACGTGTGCCTGCACACATACACTTTCCCCCAATCCCTCTACCGCCACTACTCTAAACATTTCAGTCTCCCTGGCTTTTGGTTAGATGGAAAAGCACTTTAACATTGTACGTTTCTCTATAGTTATGGGTTCTGATATATTTGGTTAGTGTCCCGAGAACACTAACCATGGCTGCCTATCTGGGGCAGTCTAGAGTTCCCTAACAAGTTAAGACTCACCTAATGCAATAATATTGATTGGCCACAGAGAGCCTTATAGGCATGACTGAGCTTTAACACAGATCATCAAGGAATCAAGCCGTGTCCTTGGTAATGCGCACGCACGCACGTCACGGTGTGGGTGTGGAGATCGGGGGCAGCTTGTGGGAGTGGTCTCTTGTTCCACCTTGGAGATTTCAGGTAGTGAGGTATGCCGTGACAAGCGCTTTCCCCCACAGAGCCATCTTGTGGGCCTGCACACTGTCTCCTTTGACTCTTCCTGTCACCTGCACAGTCTGCTTGTCCCTTGCGTAGTCTGCAAATACTGGTTTGTTTGTGCTGTCCAGTGATCCTTAATAGTGACAGCATGCACGTAGATAGTGGGCCAGAGCTGGATTTTAATTAACAGATTGCTAGGCAGCATTACCTATAGTTTAAAGAACCTTTGTTTTAGAGTCTAGAGTCCGGTTATTTTTTTGTATTTTTTTATTACAAATAGATTTTTTTTTCTCCTATAATCTATCCTGACTATGTTTTCCCCTCCTTCTGCTCCTCCCAGTTCCTCCCTACCCTGTGTCCCCTCTGGATCCCCCTCCCTTTCCGTTCTCATTAGAAAACAGGCTTCTAATGGATGATAATAAAATATAATAAGGCAAAACAAAACCTAACACATGGGGGTTAGACCAAACAAACAGAACACAGGAAAAGAACACAGGAAAAGACACAAGAATCAGAGGCCCATTCTTTCACACACTCAGGAATCTCTGATGTGGGATGTCCTTCAGTATATATGTAGTTTTTATTGGTTGATGAATAAAGCTGTTTCTGCCAATGGCTAACAGAATAAAGCTGGGCTGGAAGTCCAAACGAAGATACAGAGAGAGGGAGAGTAGACTGTCTGCAAAACACACAGGAGATTGTGCAGGAAAAGCATGTGTGTGGGGGGGAGGGGAAGAGGAAGGGTAGAGCTGACTAAAGATAGAGCCAGCCAGTCTAGGGTGGGTAAGTCCAGGTGCTTCTGGAGTTTGAGTGGCAGCTGGAGACTGTTCAGAGTCACTACAATAGCAAAATCCCAAAGTCCTGCAGAGGCTTGGGGAAAAAAAAGGAAAGAAAGTCTAGCCAGGCTGGGCAGGAGTATTGAGTGCAGCTCCAGCCTGTGCTGGTGGCTATAAAGTCACAGGCAAGTAGCTTTTCCATGAATTCCTGCCCCACATTGGGCACCAACTGTGGCTGGAAGTCTTCTCTGTCCCGCTGATCCCCCCATGGCTAATTTTTCTCTGCCCACCTGTTCCTGAAGCCACTTATGAAATAACCATTTTGAGTCTTATTAGCAGTTCCAATTGTCTACCCAGTGTACTAGGCTTCTTACTGACTACCACTAACTATAAATTAACCCATTTCTATAGGTTATATTTTACCATGAAGCTCGTGACTTGTTACCTCACATCTTGCTTCTTGGGCGGCTACATGGTATCTCCTCAACTCTGTTCTCTCTCTCTCTCTCTCTCTCTCTCTCTCTCTCTCTCTCTCTCTCTCTCTGTATCTTTGGACTTCCACCTAGCTTTACTCTGCTAAACCATTGGTCAGAACAGCTTCCTCAACCAATTAAAGCAACACATATACTGGAGGACATCCCACATCAAATACCTTGAAATGCTGAACTGGAAGCCATAATATAAACTCAAAGGACCTGGTGCAGACCCATGCAGGCCCTGTGCACGCTGCTTCAGTCTCTGTGGTTCATGCAGCTTTGCTCACATTGATTTAGAGGGCCTTCCTTGTTCTCTCGGTGTCCTTACACACTTACTGTCTCCTCTCCTGCAGGAGCCCTGACAGGAGGGATTTGATGGAGACTTGCCATTTAGGTCTGAGTGCTCCAAGGTCTCTCATTCTCTACATAAAGTCTGGCTGTGGGCTCTGTATTTTTTCTACTTCAGAAGGAAACTTCTCTGATGATGGCTGAGCAAGACTTATAGTCTGATTTGTTTAATACATGAAAATCAAATACATGGCTTATACAGTATTTAATTTTCTGTCGTAAGATAGCTGTGTTGTTAGTCCAAAGCAGTGGAATCTTTTCCCCTTTGACTTTAGGACTCATGCACAGAAACACACATGTTGAGATCTTCATGCAAATATTGCTACTCCCTTTCTCTCCTCTTGGTATTCTAATGACAATTTACTCATAATTAGTTCCCACCTGAATTCCTAAACAGCTGGAAGGGGATAGGCTGAAGACAAAGCATATAGGATTTTGATGTTAATTCTGTAGAGAAGATTTAAAAAAATCAAATGAGCTCATGAGTAACTCCCCCCCCCCCCATACACAAAGTATATATCTTAACTTTTGCCTATTTCTTCAACATAATGAACATAATGACACCGTCAGTCAAAAATACATCCCAGGCTCTGCGAGGCACTGTATATTATTCTTGCCCCTAAGAGCTATCTGGCCAATCAGACCACAGTGCAATATAATTCACAGAAATAAGGTGCGTGTTATCGGGGTTTAGAAAGAATTTTGGTGCATTTTAGTAGATAGATTTTTTTATATTTATAAGGAAAAAGTGGGAATATATTCTACTGTTATCCTACTGATGTAATTCTATAAGACTTCTACCAGAGAAAGTGAAACCACTCTCAGCAGAGTGTGTTGATTCGTTGTTAGGAAAAGCACTGGCCTCTGATACTGCTCAACTAACCAGAGCCATGTCAGCCTTCCTTCTTTGTTATCTGGAGCACACAGAGGGGTATTAGAATAAACGACGAACGCATCAGTATTCAGAACTCTCGCCCCCTGTGTGCACCCTTGGTGTGCAGCGGTGTGCTGGCCAGGGTACTCTGCCCTCTCTGTCACTGTCACCTTAGGGTTTTCGATTCCAGCAATCAGCTGCAGATTTCAGGCTCAAGCTCCTCTGATGAACTAGCAGGAGAGTTTGGAATGGGATGAGGCTAGACTGGAACTCACTGTGAACTTAAATTAAAGCATGCACAGTCATTCTGATATGGTTATGCTATGGCCATGTTAGTGAAGGTGACTGAGGTGTTAGACTCAACATGCCTATTATCCAAGCCAGGACTTGGGGGTGAACATTATAGTTTATTGTCTCATAATTCCCTTATTTAAAATTCATTTAAATTAAATTTCCGGAATGCATACAAGCTTCCCTTTTTTTCTTTCCTTCAATGCAGGAACATGTATATATGTGCATGAACAGTGACTGAGGAAAATAATTTGAAATTGTGTTTTTAAATTTATTTTCCAATTTTTGGATGGATTGCAATAACTCTCTCTTGGAACAAAGTAAAGAAGTGGTCTGACAAGGCTAATTGCCATGTCCTTGGCAACTGTTGCCTTGTGCCTGGGACCCGACATTTTGTATTCAATTTTATAACGGAGAGATTTGTGTTGTAATTCTGTATTGTATAGAAAAAAATCATATATTTGGACAAAATTTTATATTGTTACTATATTTCAGAATTAATATTTTTACTTCTCTATTGAGAACAGTAGGTTGTTAATTTCCTTTCAAAATAAAAGTTATCCTAAAATAACTACTATAATGATATTGCTATAATTGAAAAAAGAGAATTTGGACATTTGTTAGTTTTCTACCAGATGTAATACTTCATTTCTATTGCTTAAAATACTATTTAAGTTATATTGTTGGTGGTAACTCGATATATCAACACAAGCCTTGGAAAAGCAAGTTTTGTTCCATTTAACTTCAGGTTAGAGGAAAGAGATACCAACGGCGGATGGCGACTTTTCAGAATCCTGCCATTAACTAATTGGTATAAGATGCCAGTTTTCTTGGAAATCAATCTAACATTTGTCAGCTTTCAATGGAGAGACATTATTTCTTTGAGAGGTTATTATTTTTGATGTTCCATAAGCTGAAGTAATGGCCTAGTTATTTTTCTCCTTTATCTCTGTATAGAACAGATAAAGATGTGGAAGACAAAAGACAAAAAGCCATCGAAGAGGTAACTTAACACTGTTACAGTCATTAAGCCAACCAGCAGTGCGTTTTGCATGTGTGCCCTCCCCTTTAGGAAGACTGCTGAACTCCTCCACTCCCACAGCTCCCTCCGGTCCTTAGCACTCTTCCTGCCCCTTCTGGTCCTCCGGGCGCCCCTCCCTTCTACTTACCCACCACTCTGAGCCCTTTACAAGGCCCATAGGTTTCACCTGTCTCAGTTGCTCCCTTGCTCTCAAACTCACTGGTTTGGTTCTCCCCTGCCTAGACTAATACAGTTTGGTGTAGCACGAATTCTAATTGTTCTTACTAATAAACAGAGTCAGATACTAGGGGATGAATGCTGAGAGATCAGAGAAGCAAAGCAGCCAGGCACTAGAGAGTTCTTTCCTCTGTCGCTGCTCAGACTGAAGGGGCAGTCCTGTCTCTACGAACCCTCAGACTGCTGTTCTCTCTACAAAACCTCAGGCTGCATCCCGCTGTGTGGATCCTCAGACCACATCTGAGCTCCTGTCTCCTCCCACCTTATATTCCTCTCCCGCCCAGTCAGATCACTCCCGACTCCACCTTCCTAGAGCTGGGATCAAAGGCGTGGGATTCCCAGCACAAGGGTGAGCTCTGTTTCTCTTTTAGACAGATTTTTAGTCGGCCTGTCTCCAGAGTGCTAGGATTATAGGTGTGCGCCACCACTGCCTGACCTACGTGGCTAACTACTAGTCTTAACTCGGCACTCTGATCTTCAGGCAAGCTGTTTTTGTTAGATTACAACAGTGTTGTTCCCTGGCCATCATCTCCCTCTCCGCCCAGCACGGCTTGTCTTCCTTGTGCTCTCAGAGTACTGATTAGCACAAACTTCTGACTCAGGTTGGAGTTCAGGTAAAGGAAGCTGACTGTTGTCCTCCACACTCGCAGTGACTTTGTCTTTTGCAGTTAATACTTAAGGATTTTTAAGATTTAGAATATAGTTCATAAAATGACTTACTGCTAAGTACAAAGGTAAGGTTTTTGTTCACTCTTTTCTTCTCTTTTTTAGTAAAAACAGTAAAGCCAGAGAGGCTTTGTGTCATAATGACAGTTTCTGAGCTGTCCCTTTTCTTTCTGGTCTCCACTACACGTTACTTTTCCTTAGCTATACTTGGCTCTTCTGTACCCCAAAGGATTCACATTACTGCTTTGTTCTGGAGCCTGGTGACTGGCCCCTCCTTGGTTTTGCTAACATAGGTATTGTCTGTCCCTTGTACTTAAGATTACATACAACCTTATTTAGAAAATATGGTGTTCTAATCCTGACAAACCTTGTTTTCCCCTTCATCTCCAGCTCTGATTCCCACTGGTACACTATCGCTTAATCCTTCCCCAGCCGAATAGATCGGGTCCTTTCTAACTTTCCAACATTTTGGAAAATACTGTCTCTGTTTAGAATCCTTTAAGCTGTTTCAAGGAAAGCTCAGCAGCATTCATAGGGAATAAAATCAGAGTGAAGGTCAGGATTAGTATTTATATCCAAAATATATTTTATATACACATGTCAAAGCCAGACCTATCAGATGTAAAGAGAACACAAAAGCTGTCATTCTCAACCAGTCTGAAAGGAACTGCTGCAGCCTTTCCTGTGCAGCTGGGATTCATTTTATATACACAATAGCATCTTTTTTTTTTTTTTTAAAGATTTATTTATTTATTTATTGTGTATACAGTATTCTTAGTATTTTGCATGTATGCCTGCAGGCCAGAAGAGGGCACCAAATCTTATTACAGATGGTTGTGAGCCACCATGTGGTTGCTGGGAACTGAACTCAGGACCTTTGGAAGAGCAAGCAGTGCTCTTAACCACTGAGCCATCTCTCCAGCCCAACAATAGCATCTTTTAAACATTTTAGACACGTAGGTTTATCCTCATTTGGTTTTGCATCTTGTTTTTATTATTTTTTCTTGATCTTTCTTAGTTTTTTGTTTTTGTTTTTTTTTTTAAATAATCACCTGTACAGATGTTTGTATTTTAGTCAGAATGCATAAACACCATAGTGTTGCAGTTGTTATGTGTTTTATGTTCTTCTAGTGGATGGTAAGCCAGAGCTTTGTGGATTTTCAGTCTGAGTGGATTTTCCCACATTGCCTTCCTAAGAGGCAGAACCTTTTATGCTCCTTGTTTAGCATGGTGCTGCTTGTTTTTTTTTCCTCTCTGCAATACTGATTATTACCAAACTTTCAAATGTCTGTGTTCTACTTATTATTTTAAATGCCATCAAATTTGGGTTCTAGTTAATGTTGAGTGCTACTGTTTAGCCATGGGTGACACGTCATAAGCTTATGGGTCCACTGCATTAGAAGCAAAAGACATAGCCACAGACAGACAGACAGACAGAAGATGGATAGACAGATGATGGATGGATAGATAGATACAGTTGGGTTTTGTTCATTTGAGTAGAACGGGATAGCGATGAAGGTGCATGTGTAACAGCTGTCTCTCTTTGTAGACCTTACTATGGTTTCTGTGATTGCTGCTACCCATAATGTAAATACTCCAAGTTCCAGCTACCGCTACGATATCTCTGAAGGGGAAACGTGTAGTTACACACCCCAGGGAGACAGATTCCACCTCATATGTACACAAAGTGTAATTAACTCCAAGAACATAGATATTGACAAATGTAAAATAATTTATAAGTACTACTTTTTGAGTGATTCAATATAATGTATTTAATTGTAAATTTATATAATTTTATTTTTCGTTGCGGTTTTAACAGAGGTTATCCAAATTCCTGAAAACCGCTAATCTCGAGAGTCAGTAAGGGCTGAGTCCATCCCACCGTTTACTCTTGTGTGTACCTTTATCTCCATGTGTTCCTTTCCTCCTCGACTTACACTGGTCGCCAATCCCAAGACAAATTGGCAGAGAAGTGAAAAGCAATTGACGTATGAATAATGCTCTTAGCTTTATTTATAAGTTTTAAGTTTAAATGGTTGATTTAAAGTATTAAGAGGTCTCTATATATTTCTTCACCTTTAACTTAACTTTGATCAGTTATGTTGAATATGAACATTTTAAAATAAATGTAAGTTAGTATATGTGACATACATGGTGGTTATAATGAAATAATATGGAAATAATGACGGTACTCTTTCCCATTTGTGGGGCATTTACGCCTAATTGTACAATTTGAATTTTTCTAGTTTTTCACTAAAGATGTCATTGTCCCCTCTCCCTGGACTGAGCATGACGGGAAACAGCCCGTAGAGCTTCACCCCAGCAAATGTGAGTACTCAGCATGCAAAACCCAGGGTCTGTAAGCAAATGTGAGTATTCTGCACGTGTTCGCAAAAGCAAGGCCGGCAGGGCGGCACAGCGAAGCCTGCTGCAAGTTCAGTTTCCACATGGCACAATTAGCTCTCTAATAAGGAGCAAACCTTAGTTGAAGTATGCTTGGGTTTTCCATTTTTTTTTTATTTAAATTTAGTTTTTAAAACAATCTTTTCTCACTTTACATACTCCCAGTTTCCATCCCCCCCTTGCTCCCTGCACCTTCTTTCCACCCCACCCCATCCACTCCTCAAGAGAACGCAAGGCTCCCCATGGGGAAATCAACCAAATGTAGCACATCACTTTGAGGCAGGTCTAATGCCCTCCCCACTGTTTCTAGGCTGAGCAAGGTCTCCCTCCAAAGAGAATGGGCTCTAAAAACCCGTTACAAGCACTAGGGATAAATACTGTACCCACTGCCATAAGTATAAAAATATGATTTTCTGTTGAAAATGTTTCACAGGCCTTAATAGCAACGGCGACTCTCCTGTTGGGCAGAAGCTGACACTTCCCTCTGAGAAGTGCAATGGTGGGTATGAACAGGGTCTGGAAAGATGTGGTGCACAGCAAGGTACTTCGATTCAAGCATAGTTCATACAGTAGTGCGGTCCTTTTCAGTTCAGACATTGTGTGCTTTGTGGGTGAACTGTATGTCAAGAGAACTGACTTTTAGAAAGTGATGTTTTAGAAAGAGCAGTTGTGTGCTGCTTTCCAGTTTGAAGTGTGTGATTTGTGAATCGGTCTCTGGTTCGGGAAAGGTTTAAAGAAAACACAAAGTTCTGTTAATCTGAGGAATCCCCTAGTGTCTGCGGCTACCCTGTTTACTTCCAGTACAAGTCTCAGGGGCAGCTAGCTTCCACCATTAGTGCGTTCCGATCACGAAGCTGGCATGGGATATAATAGAGTGCCCCTGAAGAATGACTGCTTATCCTGGAGCATGCTGGGAGGCGGTGGTTGGCAGGCACATGCTGAACTGATGTCACCTGCCTTCACTGGTGTGTGCGTACTTAACATCTGTTTGCTTATTCCCAGCTGCCTGCCAGACTCTGCTGTCTCTTCCTGTGGATTTCAATCTGGAAGCCATATTGGGTAAATGCTGTGTGACTTGACCCTTTAAGAACACAAATAAAGCTTCTCGTTTGGTCGGCTGTTTGTAAATGGTCGTGCAGCAGGTGCCGTCCTTTAAACGGGAAGCTGCCCTACATTTTCCTGTTTCTTGAACGTGGCCTGAGTTAGTGATCTATCACTGTGAACTTGACTGTGAGCATGAAAGAGAAACACCTTACTGGTGCAGGTCTACTACTAATGGCCCATCAGGTGTGGTGGCAGCAGACTGAGACAGGATGACCACAGGTTCCAGTCCAGTCTGGGTCCATAGTGAGACCCTGACTCACAACATCAGTAACAGAAAATAAACAAACACTCCAAAAATAAAGAACATTTTAAACGTTACCCATACGTGTATTGAAACAAAATTCAAACATGTTTCATGACTTTTTGTTTTGTTTCTGTTATTGTTTTTCGAGACAGGGTTTCTCTGTAGCTTTGGAGCCTGTCCTGGAGCTAGCTCTCGTAGACCAGGCTGGCCTCGAACTCACAGAGATCTGCCTGCCTCTGCCTCCCTCGTGCTGGGAATAAGGGTGTGTACCATCACTGCTCGGCTGTTTCATGACTTTTTGGAAAATCAGTGTTAAAAAGTGTAGTTCCTTCTTACAGTGATCAACTTTCTCTGTGTTTTTATAAAACGCAGGAGACTATTTTAGAGCTGATGACGCTGCGGACCAGTCTCCTGGGAACCTCAGTTCCTCGTCTCTCAGAAGAAAGCTCTTTTTGGATGTGAATGGGAGCATCTCTGACTCCTTACCTTCAGCTTCTCCCAGAAGTCCTCCTAGCACTACTCGAGAATCTCTTGAGGTGTTTTATCTGATTGATTTGTCTCCGTGTAGCCTAGGAGCCCTGTGTCGATGGCATGTACCATAAGAAGTGTTCTAGCAAGTGACTGGTTAGTGTGTTGTTTGCTTGGATGCAGATACTCAGATCGCATCCAGGAAGATCACCCAGTTCGTGAGCATTTTCGCAGTTCGTAGGTATGATTTTAGTCAGTCTTCAGTTTTGTTTTTAAGGTAGACAGGGTGAGCAAATTGATCCTTGTCTCAAGGAATCACAGTCTGGCTTACTTACTGAATTGCCCAAAGATTAGCAGTGTAACTGAGTTAGCATTGATGGCGTAAATAAATTAGTTTATAGGTATTTTCACATACTTGGTATGAAATATAATGAATGATTTGTTTGAGCCCAATTCATCATACTTCGATATTTTATTTCAAGATTTTTCTAGCAGTCTTAGTTGTCTTTGTTCCAAGACGCCTTTCATTGGTGGGTTCTTGGGAGTTCCTGGTTTGTGAGTATGTGTGAAAAAGACAAAGAACGCGCAAGATAACTGTGACACAGAGAAGTTGCATGTATTTACTAACCAATGACGATTTTGATTTTCTAATTTAAGTTGTTCTTTTTTAAAATCACAGGGACAGTTTTCTTCTAGCCCCATTGAGAACAGTACAAGAAAATACAGTTTGGGGAGCATAGCTAGCCCACCGACTATTTCTTTACCCACTTTCTCACCAATTGCACTTGAAGCAGGAAAGACACCACTCTCAGGTACGTCTCAGAATAATATATACTGTTAAAGTTGTACTATCTACATTTATTAATAAAGGGGCTCTTTTAGCAGGAATGAATATTTTGGTATTAATTTGTAGACACTTTCTTTTTTGAAAAACAAAAGTAGCAGTGTAAGTCAAATGTGTAGCTTATGCGATAAATTCCAGTACTTGGGCGACAGAGGCAGAAGGATCATAAGTTCAGGGGCACGATGGGAATATGTAAATTTATAACTAGCTTGAGCTACCTTGTAAGGCTGTGGTGGTTTGAACAAAATAGCCTCCCATAGGCTCATATATTTGAGTGCTTAGTCACCCGAAAGTGGAATTCTTTGAAAGGATTAAAAGGGTTAGGAGTTGATCTTGATGGAGGCTTGCAAAGCCTTGGCCAGGCCCAATCTCTTTCTTCCTGGGCCTGCCAATCATAATGTCAGGATGTTGTAGACCAGTGCTTCTGCACCATGCATGCCACCGTGCTGATAACACCGAAACTCTAAGAAAGCCCCAGTTGAATGTTTTCTTCTACAAGGGTGGTAGTGGTCATGGTGTTTCTTCACAGCAATAAAACAAAGACCCCCATATAAAAAAAAATAAAAAAAGGTGGCCAGAGGTACGGGGAGTTTGCTGTGATGTGAGATTGTGTCTCCTAGAAATGTCAGAAGCTACATCCATGAAGTCTCACCATCATGGCTGCCTAAATATGACCCGACCCAGGACAAGCACCAGTAGACATGCTATGTGGTGAGCCCTGAAATACATGTACATATAAAAGTAACATCCTACTGAGCAGGTGGTACTTACGTGTTTAGGAACACACAGGAATGTAACACAAAGAAAAAACCATGAGCTTGAATGAAGCAGTGGAGGGGACTACATTGGAGTGTTTGTAAGAAGGAATGGGAAGGGGTAATTATATAATTAGACTCTAAAAATTTTAACAAAAAAGAAAAAATATTATATAAAATGTTAGAATATCAGGTTCCATACACACACAGAACCCCTATTCATAAACTGAATCCTTATCAAATAAAACTGCCATAGTTAAAAAAAAAAAAAAGATTGTTGGTATAGTTCAGTGTACAATACTTGTCTATGCTGTGTGATGTCTGCATTCAATTCCTCGCACTACAACAAAGGTTGGAGAGATAATTTATCCTCAACGTTTAGAATTCTCAGAAAGCTTTTCTAATCTAGTTATTTTAATAAGTATTTACCGCACTCTCTCAAGGAGATCACAGTTTAGAGATAAGTTGGTTTTTATATACCTTCTTACTTACAGTAATAGATTTTGACAACCAGGTATTCAAACCCTATAAAATATACTTGGTTAAGGTTGTTAAAATAAGTATGTTTAGAAATGTATGTACTCTTGAAAAAAATATTTACCAATATTTGAAAACTTAATATTTTAGGAAATCATTTCATAGTAAAACTTTGGAAAATGAAAAACTTTATTTTTGTATATAGGAATATGGGTATGTAGATAAACAAATTTGTACATTTTTATCCATGGTTCTTTATTTTTTTACAAAGCATTTATTTCTTTTGCAGGTTATTCAGATTATTTAGTGTTACCTCAAAAACATACTTCTGAACCATTTCATACATGTATCATTCTATTTGTCTTATTTCTGTTTTGCTTTTTATGGTCGTGGGGCTGAAACCTTACCTAGGTTAATTTTCCGAAGTAAAAATTCATCCAAAGGGGCCGGGCGATGGTGGCGCACGCCTTTAATCCCAGCACTCGGGAGGCAGAGGCAGGTCTGTGAGTTCGAGACCAGCCTGGTCTACAGAGCTAGTGCCAGGACAGGCTCCAAAGCTACAGAGAAACCCTGTCTCGAAAAACCAAAAAAAAAAAAAAAAAAAAAAAATTCATCCAAAGGGACAGATACTTTGAAGGCTCTTTTCCCTCTGCTAAACTGGGGATTGAATATAGGTCCCTGCCGCTGAGTTGTGTTCCCTGCCCCATAGTTTTAAGGATTTTGTTTGAATCTACTTTAACTTCTTCATAAAAGCTTATGTTGGTTAAATTTTTTATTGTTATCACTGTTAAACTAAAGCATTTTTCTCATTTTGGATATTGTTAGGCTCCTTACTATTAAAAATACTATTTTCTCGTTTTTGTTTGCCTTTTAGTATTGTTACAAGTGTGTTACATAAGTCCAACACATTTGTCAAGTATAGTTGTTAAGTTACAGTTTCTAAAAGCCAACTTGTTAGGCATCTTCTTTGTATATGAACAACTTTGATATAGTGCAATGTACTTATAAAGAAATAATTCACAAAAAATAAAATATTTTAATTAAAATTTGGAAAGAGCCATGGAAACAAGCTTTGAGGTTGAGTCTGTGGAGGCACATACTAGCTTTCTGTTATTTTTAACACTAAAATTTCACTTCAGTATATACAAACCTGTTACTGTCTTTGTTTCTTTTTTCTGACATGAACACGATTACCACTTAAAAATGACTTTTCCCTTTCTGAGTTTTTGTGATGTAATTTTTTTCCCCTCCACTCCTTCAGAACAAAGGAAGTATATATTTCATTCTCCTGAAGCTTCATCCGGAGCAAGATCTACCGGGATCATTAATCCAAGCATCAGGAGTCCGTACATAGATGGCTGCTCACCAATTAAAAGCTGGTCTCCTCGGAGACTGAGAGGTGGTACTCAGTACTTGTCCTCACTGATTCGGGTCCCTTTTACTCTTGAGAACAACAGTGACAGCGAAGAAGATGAGGCTCCCTCCACAGATGTCTCTCCACCAGGCCCAAGTGCGCCAGTATCCCTCCCGCCCTTGAACTGTGAGCCTCTGGCGTGTGGCGAGCCTTCGGTGGTCACTGCCATGTCTCTTACACGGAGCCAGTCTAGTTCTGAGAAAGATCTAGCGCCGCTGGAGGATGTTGAGAGCGAGAGGGAAAATGACACTGTGGATATGTTCGACCCTCTAGACACAGAAGATGAGAGCACTTGGATAAAGGAGCCAGTGAGTGATGGGAATTCAGCCATGACTGGTTTTGTGAGTGGAATTGCCTTCAATATCGAAAGCTCTCATATGTGCATGTCCCCTCTCGCGGAGAGCAGTGTTCTGCCGTGTGAAAACAGCAATATCCAGGTAAGGCTTTTTGTATTTGATAGTCCTTAGCAATATCCAGGTAAGGCTTTTTGTATTTGATAGTCTTTAGCAATATCCAGGTAAGGCTTTTTGTAATTGCTAGTCTTTGACTCTGGGTGTTACAGGGTGAGAAATCTAATAGGCTAAATGTGAGCACTGTAGCATTGGAGAGTTTAAAAGTTACCAGGAGTGTTGAGCACGATGGCGTGCATTATTAGGCGTACCTGGGAGGCACTTGGGGCTCACTTGGGAGGCAGAGACAGATTTTTGTGAGTTCAAGGCCAGCCAGCTTTACAAAGCCAGTTTCAGACCAACTAGGGCACTGTAGTATTAAAAAATTACCAAAAGCAATCAGGAGGATTAATTATTCATATTTCATATATCTATTAACCACTGTCTGCTGGGAATAGTAAATTATGAGCAGAAAAGAAGCCAGGCTCAGACATCATCTCAGGAGACAGCTGTGTCCTGGGATCTGCTGCAGGAAGAATGAATGCCGTTTCTATTTATTTATTTGTTTGTTTGTTTGTTATGTATACAATATTCTATCTGTGTGTATGCCTGCAGGTCAGAAGAGGGCACCAGATGGTTGTGAGCCACCATGTGGTTGCTGGGAATTGAACTCAGGACCTTTGGAAGAGCAGGCAATGCTCTTAACCGCTGAGCCATCTCTCCAGCCCCATGAATGCCATTTCTAGCATAGGATTCGTATGCTAAAACTTGAATGGGTTTGGTTTGCCTTAATGTCCTTTAGGGGAGAAAGAAAACTTAGAGCACTTTTATGTCTAACTTTTTATGTACTTGAAACAGTCAACATTTTTTCGTGTGCATCAGAGGCTAAGTAGGTTCCCTGAAGTTTAAAAAGGAAATGAACAGCAGAGCCAGTACGGACTCCAGCAGCTTTGCATCCCAAGGCCATGTTCTCTGAGTTGATGCCAACTCAGGAGCAGCTGACTCTGCGGGCTCAGTGTGCTGAGAGGCTCTTGATGCCTCGCCTTTGTGTTTTCTGATTGACACTGGGCATGCTGATGCCGAAAACTGAAAATGGAACTGGAACCTTTCATTTTAAAACTTTTTTTAAAATTGTTTTTATTGGGCTATATTTTTCTCTACTCCTCTCCCTTCCTCTCCCCTCTTTCTATCCTCTTCCATGATCCCCACACTCCCAAAGTATGCAGGAGCGCTTGTCTTTTTCTACTTCCCATGTAGATTAGATCCGTGTATGTCTCTCTTAGGGTCTTTGTTCTCTAGGTTATCTGGGATTGTGAATTGTAGGCTGATTTTTCTTTATGTCTAAAAGCCACTTATGAGTACATATTGTATTTGTCTTTTTGGGTCTGGGTTACCTCACACAATATGGTGTTTTCTAGATCCATCCATTTGCCTGCAAATTTCAAGATGTCATTAATTCTTTCCGCTGTGTGGTACTCCATTGTGTAAATGTGCCATTATCTTTTTTATCCATTCTTTGGTTGAGGGGCATCCAGGTTCTATGATAAAAAATGCTGCTATGAACATAGTTGAGCACATGTCCTTGTAGTAGGATTGAGCATCCTTTGGCCCCAAAGTGCTATTGCTGGTTTCTGAAGTAGGTTGTTTCCTAATTTTCTGAGAAATCAGTTATGTATTGGAACTGAGTCATAAGCCAGTCACTTGGCAGTGATATCAGAAAGAAGACTCTTTGTAAGCAATCTGATATTTACAGTCTTGATCAAGTATCTATCGACCTGTAACAGAACCGAGGGATTTCCCTTGGGATGTACTGTTCAATTTTATTGTACTTGTCCCAAGGGTTTTGCTTTAATTGTGACTCCCAGGAACCAGTAAGTGGGTATACAGACATGAAAACTAGGAGTATTTTCCTTGTGATCACCTGGGTGACAACAGTATGACTTTATACACTATTGTAGATGTCCTTCAGGGGATCAAAGCAGCACAGACTTCCCTACTCCTAATTTGTAAGGAAAGGTGAAGGGCTAGGTCAGTGTGTTGTGTGTGTTGGGTGGTGTTTGGTGCTCAGCAATATTACAAGTAAATGGCCCTCAACCAACCCTGACCCCCAAGACAGGGTTTCTCTGTAGCTTTGGAGCCTGTCCTGGAACTAGCTCTTGTAGACCAGGCTGGTGTCAAATTCACAGAGACCTGCCTCTGCCTCCCAAGTGCTAGGATTAAAGGCGTTCACCACCGCACTGTGCAAATGTAAAAGTGAAAAGAACTTTAACTTGAGCCTCTGATGTCAATGTATAACACTGAGTTAATCTTTCTGAACCTTCACTTCCTCACCTTATAAAGTAGATGTTGAAAGGACAAAATAAAAATGGCATTATAGCGCTACAAATGACCAAGAATTTTTATTCAGTAAATGCTTTTTACAGTAGATACCTGTGGTCCAAAATTGTTTAAATTTAAAATATAAAGTTTGCTTCAAAATTCATGCTATTTTGAGCACCATATCTTAAACTGACCCTCAGTGGGATGCCAAACACCCTTTGACTAATGTCCCCACACTGCCCGTACTTCTACCAATCATTCACACAGCAGCCATTTCAGTTGTCAAGCTGACCACTAGGCTAACATGTCACTTGTATTCACAAAGAGCTTTTTCAAAACTTAATATTGACTAAAAGCACTAACATAATTCTAGCAATTTGCATATGTCAAAGAGGAGCCAGAAAATTCTTGAAAGTGCAAAGTACAATAAATATTTTAAGATCATATTCCATAACTTTTTATAAACATATTTATAAATCAAGCATAGTGTGGCACATGCCTGTAATCCCAGCACTCTTTTGAGTCTGAGGCAAAAATGTGAATTTGAAGCCAAACTAGGTTAGATAGTGTTCCATAACCAGAAATGTGCTATAGTTGTTCTATTCTTATTGAACTTTTACTGTCTAATCCATAAGTAAAATCTTATCACAGGTATGTGTAGGTAGGACAAACAGAGGATGCAGCGTTTGGTGATACCTGAAGTGTCTTGGAAGGTATCCTCCATGATAATAGAATACCAACTTAAAAATGTGTAAATCTTTTTCACTTTTGGGGCAAGCCAGTATGTTTTAAAATGTAACCATTTTCTTATGTGCATGCCATTATGAACAGCTGGGTATGAGCCTTATGCAGGCTATCTTTATTTTTTAATACTCCAATGGTATTTAGAAACTGTATAAGCAAAGCATTTACAGATAAGCTGGAAAGGAAAACTGATTGTAGTCTTTATTTTCACTTTGGAAAGAGCAGAAAAGCACCTGGTGACTTGTCTACTGATGCTAAAGAAATTATAGCTCCTTCCCAAGAAATATCCTATGAAGTGTTGCAGGGAAAAGCAATTTCGTGTAGAGCTTTTAGGATCATGTATTAAATTCATTTACTGTGATCACTGTTACATTGTTCAGATGTAGTGAATTATATGCTCACTTAGCCTTTGCATTTCTTACAATATTTCATGTAAATTAGAACAATGAATGAGTTTGCAGTTTTATGAGTCAGTGTTTTGTTTTTCATTCCTCCAAGATGGACAGTGGCTACACCACACAGACTTGTGGAAGCAATGTCACTGATATTGCTGGGACAGAAAGCTGCTGCAAAGAAAATGTCACACAGTCCTTTGAAGCAGAAATAAAATCTCAAGGTTGTAATATAAAGGTATGGAGAAAACAGTTTGATAATAATATAGGCTGTAATATTTAATAAATGGCTTTTTTCAGCCTATCTTCACCATTTTGTATAGCTTTACCATGCTTATGTGCTCATCTTGTTTTGTCATTAGTAGATATTTTAAAACCAGACACTCCAAAATTCCTCGCTCTCCAATGGGAGAGGATGAGTTAGAGGGGGACCAGCTCTACTCTAAGCAACGAGCACTTACATCCGTAAGGAAACGGGAAAGGCAGAGACTTTTGCCTCTAAAATTGATTTTTGTCTTTGAAATATTTCAAACAGCTCAAACATAAGTTTGAAAATAATTACTACTAGAGAGGAAAATAGTACAACTGGTTACATATCAAAAGTTAAAAGCACTTAAAGACTCTGTATGTGTAGCCATACAAAATAATGGTCTCAGTATTATCACTGTTGGATATTATGCATTTGGACAGTATTAATCCTCCTATTCTTTCCTGAAGGATTTCTTAAAATTCAATAGCCATTAAAGATTTTCATTGTTCTAAGGAAAATAAGTAGATATTTTAGGTATGTCAAATATTTGTACTAGTATATTTCTGATATAAACATTTCACGAACCTTTCACGAGATACGACAACCTTACTACTTATACCTATTTATTTAATACTATTTATATAAACCTCTCTGCAAGTTCAGTAAGAAATGCACCATATTTTCCTTTGGTACATGTAATATCAAAACAAGTCTCACTCTAATATTAGTAACTTCAACGAAGTTGCTCCTGATAATCCAGCTCATTTCAGTTATCCCTCAAAAATCTAAGCTGAAGCTTAGACTAGCATTGATTGACTAGCATTGATTAGTATGCCCAGCATCCTGGGTTCAAGAGGAAGGGGGCAGGAGAGGGAGGGAAGGAGGAAACACCCCCCCCCCCCAAACAAAAACTCTTATCTTCACTAGCCCTCTCAGGCCAGGAAATCTGCATCCCCATTTCAAAACAGTTGGTAGCAGTTGTACTTTTGAATGGCCCTAAACTGAAAAGCAGGTGTTTTCTTTTCCACAGCAAGAGCACACAGTGCAGAGGTGCTGGATGAAAGCTGCTGGCCCATCACAGTGCAGCAGCCCATAGTCTCAAGACCACAGACCACACTCAGTCGTAGCCCCTGTGCCTTTACGGACATGATCTCACGTGGTGGTGACTGGGGTAACTGCTTCATGTCATATGCCCAGCTCCCTCCGTAATGTGAAAATACAGTCTGTCCGCAAAGGAACTTAGTGACAGGAACAGAAGCTCTGAGTTATTAATTACAAGCTATTTTTTAACCAATAAATATTTTTGTATTTGTTTTGAGTGGTTTCTTTAACAAAAAATTATGACAGCTGATGGCTTTCTCTTGTCCTACAGGATCACGGAACTACTTGTTAAAACTTGTAATGATAATCCTGAATTACCAGTTCTTAGAACATGATAAAAATATTAAAACTGAATGCATTCTACATTTTTACATGAAAACTGTGAAAGATATCTTGAGATATAAAACTTACTAAGAAAGGAAATAAAATGGACTCTCTAAAAATCCATTTCTGTGAGGAAATGACTTAGCTTCTGGCATTAGCACTCTAGTTAATACTAAAGTGTAAATGCTGGAAAGGTGCTACCGACTGGGCAGTCCTATACACTCCCATCTATGGGGTGAGCGTGGGATGCCACAGTAGTATGTATCGTTCCCTCAGTCTTGGCTAGGGAGATGAACAGAACAGAGCATGGGAGAATCAGAATCCTTGGGGAACAGTGAATTCCCCTTGGGCTTTGGACATGAAGAAACAATTGGAAAAATAGCTAAATAAAATATTTTTTTTTAAAAAATCTGTATTAGAAGATGGATAAAATGTATTTGGAAATATCAGACTGTATTTTTGTGTTTACTTATTTTGTAAAAACTGGCATACTCAAAATGACTCATCATTAGTCCTAGAAAATAAAGATGCACTATTATTTTGTCATTTTCATTCTTGTTCTATATGGTACTCCATCCTTAGTATGTGTATTGCTCACACACAGACATACACACACAGTGCTCATGTCACATGCTCCAACACTAACCAATGTTGTGAAGTTGACTGGCCAACTGAATATGCTTATCTAAAAAGAGATATTATCCAGGAGTTCTAAGATGAACAGCCTCCCTGGCTACTTTTCAGTTTTTTAAAGTAATATTATCAAGTCAAATAACTTGTCTCGCTACTTGGCCTGGCCTTTATCTGTGAAATGGGAGTAGCAGTCCTCCAGTGGCTCCTCCAGTTTGTCTTGAGACCGTCTCACAATGTAGCCTAGGCTGGCCCTGAACTTTTGTCTTCTTACATCAGTCACTAGAATGTAAGGGTCAAAAGTGTGTTGAGTTTCATCTGCAACCAGTCGTCCTCAGTATCCCAGGGGAACTAGTTAGGGATGCTAGTGTCCTTCATTAAATGACACCATCTTTCCATGTAAGGCATGCACATCTTTTCATATACTTCAGATCCTCTCAAATTACTTATATCTACTACAATGTGAGTACAATGAAAATAGTTACGGTATCTGGGGGAATACTAATATGAAAATGTCTAAACATATTTACACAGATGCATTTTCCCCCAAGTACTTTCGTCCTTTCAATCTGGAGATGCAAAGCCTGGACACTGGATGAACATGTTCTGTGTAATCCGCTTAGCTTCATAACTGGCATTAGGGAAAAAAAATTTTAAAACCTCAAAGGCCCGGGGGAATGTAGGTTTTTGATCATGAATTTGCTCAGTTGAGATTAAAGCCTGTACTTGTTAAAGCCACTCTAGATGATGAGAATGGTAATAGACATGGGGGCTGCTCCATAGGTAGAGTGCTTGCTGCAAAGCAGGAAAACCTAACCTCCGTGTGAGCTTGCCAGAATGTGACTGTGATCCCATTTTGGTTGGTGGAAACTTGTTGAATTCTAGCCAGTGTAGCTCAAAGTGACAATCTCTAAAGTTCAGTGAAAGGCACCCTGTTTCAAAAAATTAATGTGGAGAAACAACTGAGGAAGAAATTCAATGTCCTACTCTATAAACAGCTAACAGATACAACTTATTGGCTTTTTATTATCAAGATGACCCCATAATGCAGGTAAACTATGGTAAATAGCTTTTAACATTTTTAGCTTTGTTCTTGCCTGTATTTACATATGTTTGTATACTACTTGAGTGATGGAACTGGAGTACAGATCATGTGGGCACTGAGAATCAAGCCTTGGTCCTCTGGCAAAACAGCCGTGCTTGCTCTTACCTGCTGAGACATCTTTCCAGTACCTGGCAAACAGTTCTTGTCTTGTGCTTTGCAATAGTCTAATCAAATCCAAGGCAATCATTATACCACTCAACTACATGCTCAACTCAATAGCAAAAAATTTGAGTGACTGGTGGGTAAAGCTCAAGAGCAGTATCTTTTTTTTTTAAATATTTATTTTATTTATTTATTATGTATACAATATTCTGTATGTGTGTATGCCTGCAGGCCGGAAGAGGGCACCAGACCTCTTTACAGATGGTTGTGAGCCACCATGTGGTTGCCGGGAATTGAACTCAGGACCATTGGAAGAGCAGGCAATGCTCTTAACCACTGAGCCATCTCTCCAGCCCCAAGAGCAGTATCTGTTATACTCCTTGGAAAATTGACTTTTTATTTCAGGAACATAACCATACCTGTTTATACATTGTTTGGCTGCTTATAAACCACAAGTACAGCAGGGCTGTGCTGTAGCTGTAGTTCAGCCAACAGTCTGAAATGCTGTGGGCCAAATGCTGTCTTCCTTCAGTTAAATCAAGTTCTGCCTTAACATATGGATATTATCTGCTGTAATAGGAAATTGGAAAACAGCACTAAATGTGTGTTTATTCGGGACACAGCTGTACCTACATTATAGCCTGGGACTTTTCAGCTGGTTACTACCACAAAAGTAGTTTACTAGACTAGAAACTGACTAAGCAAAGTCAAATGTTAAAATTTTCCTAATGTCATCATTAATCTGGGATTTGCAAGGCACGAGGTAGTCAAACTGGTACAACAAATGAGACTTCATTTGTTCCTTTAATATGTCTAATACAATCCCTCCTCTCTTATATAATTGGGTATAACTAAAATTCAAAAGCTATTACCTGTTTTTTTAAGAAAGCAGACATTTCTACTTTGATTCTTTCTCTAAAATGTAATGCCTTGTTTGAGAGAAACACTGGCAACACAGATTAAGGAACTTATCACCTGTTAACAATAACATCACAATGTTCCCAATCCAAGATACCTGAGTTTTTGTTTTCTTATAATCCCAAAACATTCAGTTCTGAGAACCACTAGTAAAGTAAGGAGGCTTTTCAAAATGTGTGAATACAGTGTTATAAGTAGGCAAATTAAAATCGCAAAAAGATCAAATGCCAAACACTGACAGCTCAAGATTTAGAAAGGCTTGTTCTTTGCTTCTAAAATGTTAATTTCCTCAGAAAATGCGTTTTTTCTATATTAAATAAAGCACTTATATAAAAATTAATCTGCTCGTCAATGAGCAGATGAGTACTCCATTTAAATGATCATCACAGATCCCTGAAGTTGCTGTTCTGTCACCATTTAAGTGATGGATATTCAAATGAATTTTTCTGCATAATTTTTGCTGTTGCAGAAGCACAGTCTAAGATTTAGCCAGTAACTCAATAAAAATGCAAATTTCTTAAAATTATTGAAATGTACTTGAAAGTATCATGCACACCAGTTTGTAAGTATGCTTTCAATTTTGTTGTTGTCTACAGTAATTGTCAGTCTTTGTAGTTCTCTGTTGCATGTAGCTACTTCTCAAGTTTCCTCTTCTTCCTTCCTGGCCCACTGAGATCCATGTCTGAAACATCAGGAGGAATATTTATTCCTGGTATCTAAAAGTATAAACGGAAAAAATGAAGTGATTAGAAGCATCAGATAAGAAATGTGTATCTCACCTTCCCCTTTACCACTATCACTTTCAACTTGAAGTAGACTTTCCAGTGGAGGGGATGGAGTTAGAAGGGTGCACCACACACAGTTACGCACAGGAAGTAACCATGGTTCAGAAGTAAGCCAGAACGGAGGTGCACACCTGCAATCTCAGCACTTGGGAAGATCCTTGCAAATTCAAGGCTAGCCTTATCTACATAGCAAGAAAACTGAGAAGCTTCAACTTGGCCTGTGTGTTTGTAATGTAACAGCTCTTTCTTGTGTCCAATTTGCCCTACTGGATTTATGTTACAGTAAACAGCAAGCACCAAAAGCCAAAAGGTTAACATTCAGGATTTTAAATGGAGCACCTGCAGTTAACTTGTATATTATAAACTAGAGTAAAGAAATAGGCAAGAGAACGGAATGGTCTTAAGGACCTCTAGAATCTCCGATGCCTGGAATCCAGTGCCAATATTTGGAATACCTAAGATCTTAACAAACTAGACGTTAACTTTTCCACACCATTAAATTAAGTTTGGTCTCACCTGTGGTTCCACAAGGGCCATGCGGATTTTCTGATGTTGAAGATTTGATGAATCTAATGTGATTTTTACTTTAACTTTATCAAAGACATGGAACACTGTACCTTCTACTCTGAGTGAAGGTATCTTGAAAAAAAAAAACATTTTATCAATATCATTTCTTAAATATGAATCTCAATCCTACTTCCAGTTTACCTTCCATAGTAATTTAAAAGTTTAAAACTAAGGAGGACAAGAAGTTGGGAAGGAGAGGTGATGGGTTCTGGGGGAAGTTGGAGGGGAGAAGTGAGGGATAGATATGATCAAGATATATTTCATTATATATAACATTTTCAAGGAATAAAAAATCCACAATATTAGTAAGCTTCTAGGTATTGAATATAAAAAAAAAACCCACATTAAACCTCAGCCTCAAATATAGTCTATTTTTGTGCACACTTCATCTTGTCACTAAGGTAAGCCTGAATGACATCATTCATCTTAGTGAATTAGTTGTTTGTAGTAAAGTATCATTAAATATGCTCTAATTTTAGGGAATGAAATGTGGATTTTCTGTCATGCATTTTGAGATTTAGGATATAAATCTACTGTGGACTAATCCTTCTGTACACTGTAAACTATGTTGTGATTGGTTTAATAAAGCTGATTGGCTCATAGCTTGACAGGGTAAGGTTGAGTGAGAAAACCAGACTAAGGATACTGGGAAAAAGAAGGGCAGAGTTGGAAGAGTCAGTCACAAGCCAGATACAAAACAAACAGGACGTGTAGAAAATCAAATAACAAGCCCTGAGCCACATGGTAAAACTTAGATAAAAAACATGGGTTGATTTAAGTTGTAAGAGCTAGTTAATAAGAAGCATTAGTAAGTATCTGAGTGGTTATTTGGGGGTGGCTGCAGAGACACAGAAAAACTCCACCTACATAAATACAGAAAAATTTTAACAATTTGTAGTTATGGTTGGCCAACTGTCAGAGAAAATATACCTCTCTTCCCCAAGAAAACAAGAATCAGCAATACCATACCTCATCATCATAAGTAAGCCGTGGCTTTGGTTTATCTTTTTCTTCAAAAAAAACTGTACCTTCTAAGCCATACTTTGGAATTAGCACCACAATTGCATTCTTTCTTACAAAGAGAATATAGGCTTCCTCGCTTACTATTCCTTTGCTTTTGAAAAACAGCTGTAAAATACATACATTCTTGTTAGAAATCTTACTTTGAGATTTACAAAAATAATTTTGAAAATACCAAATAAACAAAATTTCCCACTACAAACAAAAGGCAAATACCTGGGTATGAAAAGCTACTGATGCACGCTGAGCATACTGAGCCATTTTATGCCGGAAATTGAGATTTTTACATATATCTGAAAGCTTGTGTTTATCTGTCAACTCTGGATAAGTACAATCAGCCCCAATAGCCACGGCCAACAACCGATGAACAATTATGTCTGCATATCTACATAAAGAAGGTGAAATAAGAACAATGACGAATTAATTTTAAAATTTCTATATTAAAAGTTAACCATTTTCTCCCTCCTTTAGTTTTGTATGGAAAACACAATACCTTCTGATGGGAGAAGTGAAATGTGTGTATATTGGGGAGGCTAAGCCATAATGATGGAAGTCATTATCCATCCCAGAACAGAAGTAGACAGCTTGCATCATACAGCGAGTGGCCAATATCCTCAAAAGAGTGTTCAGGTACGGGAACTCAGGGGATTCGGCCCGGTCCAAAGAATCAGCCAAAGACTTGGCTGTATCAGTCTTAATTTCCAAATTCTGTCAATAAAAGGAAGAAAAGCACCAAATGAAATATCACAAAGTCAGTGGTATTGTCCTTCTTCCCTCTCCCTATTCCTGAGACAGTGGTCACACTGTGGAGCCCTGGATGGCCTGGAACCCATAGAGATTGGCTTGTCTCCACCGCCAAATTACTGGGGTAAAAGGCATGCACTAGCATGCCCAGCCAGAATTAGCATCCTCTCTTTAAAATATAAATAGATCAAATAAAAATAGTGTTTGTGGACAGATAGTAAGCATTCACACATTTTATCTGTTAACTAGAGGCACTAAAAATAACTTTAATTAATGGCTGATTTATGCAGTACTAAAGCTTGAAAATTCCTGAATGTATCTGAAAGTCCCAAAGCAGCAAGAATCCTGAAGTTCCAAGGGAGAGAACAAGAGTGGAGGCAGTTTATGCTTGCTAATCTCTGAGTCATGCCAAGCCTAAGTATGATGAAATTAAAAGGGTATAAACGGCTGAAGAAAAGTCCCCCTTTCCATGCATGTCATAAATAGCCTTCTTTTGTATGGATATGATACAGGGAGCACTGAACTGGGGTGACCTAAGGAGAAAACAAATTACTTGTGAATCTCTAAAAGCTATGCATTTCAAAGAAGCCATGGGTCTTAAGTTTCTATAATTATGATAAAATACCATGACCAAAAACTACTTGGGAGGAAAGGGTCTATTTCTGCTTACAGTTCCCTATCACACAGTTCATCATCCAGAGATGTCAAGTCTGGAGACCAAGACAGGAAACTGAAGCAGGAACTTAAGTAGAACCCATGGAAGGACACTGCTTATTGGCTTGCTCAGCCTGTTTTCTCGTACCTGCTTAGGGCTAACACCGTTCACAATGGACTGAAAAGAATCACTAATCAAGAAAATGTCCCAAAGGCTTGCCAACTAGAGGTCTTATGAAGGCATTTAAGTTCCTTCTTCTCAGATGACTCTAGCTTGTGTCTAATTGACAAAAGAACAAAAACAACAACAAAAAATAGCCAGTCTACCATGTACAAAAGAAAGAGATGGAAGAGCAAACTATGTCTATGATACTGTAGATAACTTAGTTTAAATCATTTGCCTTTAAGACTGAATGCTCCTTGGGCTGGAGAGATCAAAAAGAGCTCCTGGTATAGTATACATAAACTAAACTTTTATGAAAACATGAATATTAATTTTTCAGTGTAATGGGTAGATTATGCTACAAATGCATGTGACTTTTCGATAAGACTTTACCTTGGACTTGGCTGCCTTAACAAGAATTTCATAATTGGAGGGAGGTGGAGCTGGATGTTTTCGAAGCAGAGCATGTTCAGAAAATTCCTCATGAATTTTTTTTGCAACAGAAATATTTGCAAGTAACATGAATTCTTCCACCATGGAATTTGTTTCTCTGCCAGTTGGAAAAGCATAAGGAAAGAGAAGCTGAGACAGCTATCATCACATTTACTCCAAAGCTATCTTTTATAAGTGATAAAATATTTCCCAGTGAAAACATCTGCAGGCAGCTCATATCTATTTTCAGTACCTCATGTTTCTCTAATTTCTCAGCTCCTATAGTAACGGTTTACTACCTGTGTCTCTCCGGGGAAGTTCTAGCATGTTAAAATTGTTTCAAATTGTACTCAAGGGAAAAAAAAAAAAAGGAAACGTCCCTAACTTTACTAACATAAAACAAAATCACTACGTTTATCTCCTCTTACAGAAATAGAGCTATGAAAATAAACTTTACTGAGAGAAGTAAAAGCTTGGTCCCACAGTATTATCTAAACTCCCCCAAATTTTACCAATATATCACTAATATATTTTCAATAACTAATTTGGGTGCTTATTTCCACATACACAGTAACACACACAACAGACACTTCTGATTCCTAGCTGACAGATGTGCAATGTTATTCTCTTCATAGAGGTCACTGTTACACCAGTGCCAAACCTTGAATTCAGTTTGACTTCTTAATCCTTAAGACAATGACATGCCTTCCTTCTGCATAGTCTTTCCTTTAAGCTCTAAGCCAGTTAATAAACCATCTGCATGCTGTATCTACTGCTTCCTTTCTCTGGAATCATGGAACACACTAATTTTCAATCATGTTTAAGTTATTCAACATTTGTAAATTCTATTAGCTTTCCAAGTATTAGGACTCTCCACATAGGGAAGTCAAATGACTGGGTACTTCAAGTTGTATAAATTGTAACAGTAAGATCCAAAGTTAAAGAGTTTAGCTTCAAAAACTCTACTTTTTTTAAAGATTTATTAATGTTTCAATTATGTGAATGTTGTAGAATGTGTGTGCGTTAGGCACGTGTGTGTACACAAGACTGTAGGCCTGGGGAGGTCAGTCATTGGATCTCGCTGGAGCTGGAGTTACAAGTCAGCCATCATATGTGGGTGTTAGAAACAAACCTTAGGTCCTCTCACAGGGCAGCAATCTCTCCAGATGCAATGCCTGGGGTCCCTTGTACCTCTGCATACTGTGTTAGTACTTAAGAAGTCAATCAGTGCCATCTTTCTATTTTTGCAACTATTACCACTTAAGTTCTAACACAAATTAATTCAAATCAAGGTAAATTTGAAATTTCTCTATTACCTTATCCCAATTTTATATAAGAAAAGTTAAAAAGATCATATTTACTTTTGTAAATCTTTAATAAACCAGGAAATTTCATAGCTATCTGAACTGTAACAACTGTTTTGGGTATAAATACTCTGGTGATTAGTAATACACTACATAATACATTTAAAATTAATATTTAATATCAATTATTTTTTTTTTAAATCACATGCCTCAGTTCCTTGGTCTGTAGATCTATTGGATCATGAGTTTCACTGTCCATGTGGAATCGAACTTCTGGAGAAGACAGAGTCAAAGCCCTGAGTAAAAATGAGAGCAATTAGTCAAATGAACCAAGGACAGAGAAAACATTCTATAAGTTATTCCCTTAAATGATGAGTATATCAAGTACTTAAACATTTTTCTTGAAAGGTTTTATGACCTCTACTAAGTTTAATGTCTGTTGGGGGAAGCTGCTTAGACTCAAAAAAAAAAAAATCACACAGAAACTATATTATATTCTAATATATTATTTAAATTACTGCTTGGCCAATCACTTAAGCATATAATTTCTTAAATTAGCCCATTTCTATTAATCTGTGTATTGCCATGTGGCTGTGTATTACCAGCAAGGTTACAGTAGGCTCCGGTGGAGGCATATGGCTTCTCCCTGACTCCACCTTATTTCTCTGTATATATATATCTTTCAGTCTGGCTATATTCTGTTAAGCCATTGGCCAAAACCAGCTTCTTTTATTAACTAAAGGTATTCACAGCATACAGTGGGGAAATCCCATATCAGATGTCTATATTCATATAAAGCCTAACTCTCACATTTTTATTAAGCTACATAAATTTTGCAAGTATTTCAAGTGGCTAAAAGAACAGGCAGATTGGTATTTGACTTTCCATGGAAAACAATATATTGTGATGGGCAACAATGGGGAGGACCAGAGCAGCTCTTACATAAGTAGGTTAATGAGAGAAGATGTATAGGCAACCGAGTGGAGACTGATAAAATTACTACCACTCATACATCGTAAGGACTGATGGCTATTCCCTATTAGACTGCTGTGGCTCTCAGAATATGCTGTTCTAAGGGCTTTATATGTGTGGCTCTTAATGAGTTGAAGGTTATATAAATAAATAGTGTTTTTAGATGTGATGCTACTTTCGTCAAGTTCCACATCAACCTCAAAGTTTGTTTCTTTTTCTTTGGGTTTTTTGAGACAGGGTCTCACTTTTTGGATAGACTCAGACTAGCTATTTAAATCAGGCTGGCCTAGGACAGAAGTCATAGATTCACCTGTCTCTGCCTCCTGAGTACAGAGATTAAAGACTCTGCATGATCTGGAAGTAACTTTAATGATACTGGACAATCATGGAGAAATTAGGGAAAAAATTAATGATAACTGAGCAGCAGCTTTTGTGTACATACCTAATCTGTAAAGAGTTTTAAATTTCTTATTTAATTATTCAAATATGGTAGTCACTGGTCACACTTGCTGCTGAGCATACTTATCTGTGGCTGCAAGGAGTATGGAAGGATGGTCACTTGCATTCAGGAACTTAATTCAGGCACTCTGTATGAACAGTCCTGAGCCAGCGTTTGCATCATCAGCAAAAGCATTTCTGTAATTGCTAGTAGCATTCAAAATATAGTGAGAGCCCAGGCTCCAAGCTCTGAAAGGCTCCTCTACTTGGTCTCCACACACAGCAGTCTTTCAACACTGAAGCTATTTCTAACTGCTTTCTTTCCAACAAGTTTGTGCTGACACTCCTCCTCTTATGCCTGTTATGGTTTGGTAAATGCCATGATATAATCTATGAAGTACAGTCTACCAGCTAACAAAATTCTAACAAAATGCTCTAAAGACAAACATTATCTTAGTATAATTGATATTAATCATAATCATACACTAAAGCGTGTCTTAGTAGATTAAGAACATACCCCTTTTCAATCCTTCCTTTTTTAAGAATTTTAGCTAGTTTATTTAGTCCACGGAGACTAGTGGTAATATCATCATTCATGGCTGCTGAATCAATTCTCATCTGTGCTTCAGCATATGTAAGAGAAGCCTAAGAAAGAAACCTTAGGTTAACGTAATTCTCACAACCAATACAAACGTATTTACTATTTGAACCATACTCTTATGTGCAGGCCACCATGCACGTATGGCGGTCAAGGAGCTAGCTCCTCTTCCTCATTCGAGACAGGGTCTCTCGTGTTTCCTACTTGATAAACCAGGATAGCTCGCGCATCAGTGAGTCTCCTGTCTCTGCTCCTAAGTCCCTATCGGAGTGCACTAGGATTGCAGACGTGTACACCGCAACACAGCCTTCTCGTGAGTCTTTGGACTTGCACAGAAAGCATTTTACACACACAGCCACCTCTCCACCTCTAAACTGTAGTATTTTTATCTCATATTCCATGATTTCAGGAAGCCTAAAATAAGTAACATGAGAAATCTATAGATTAACTTTATACCATGATTTCTAGTTTAACTCAGATATTCATTATTTAACATAAGCAAATTTCCATTAAAATAAAGGAAATGGTAGTTTTTTTACATTTTCAGGATTTTTTTTAATAATAGAATATTTCATAATACTTTCGTATTTTGTATATTTTAGGTAGTACTTGAATAAATCACCAAGCAGGTTCTGGCTGTTCTCTAAAATCCTTTGCAAAAGGTCATTACTCCCCTTCTCACTGGCAAATAAGAAGAGTCTAGATATATTTTATAGGACACTAACCAACCAACAAACAGTCCTCAAAATGCAGTGAAAATGATAAGAAAAGTTTGAAGCAATCTCTAATTAACAGATAATCCAAATATGAAAATAGCTGCTTCTGCTTCTATGTGGAAAACTAGTATTTTTTCAGATTAAAAGATAAAAAATTGAAATTCACAAACAGAATAAAGTAACATAATATAGGTTAAGTCAAGTTTCTGGGAGCACCTTTATCTACTAAATATTAAGTGTTCCCTTTCTAGAAAAATATTTTATTATGTTCATTAATTTTTTTATTTCAATTCATAAAACTTTGTTAAAACTATGTCCCAGGATTATTGCCTCAATGTACTCTAAAATTATGAATCTCTAAAGGCTGAACTAATTCACACACCACTTGCTTGTTAACAGTTCCTGAACTAGTCGTCAGAGCAGAGTGAGACTAGTTATAGAGCAGAATGATACTGACTTGGAAGAAAACAATTGGTTAACTTTCTGAAAACATCATTACAAGACAAAGGGTCTAGAATAGAGGACAATTTAGCACAAAATGAAGATGAATGTTAGAGAATATGGGGAGAGGTACAAAAATAAGAAAAATTTGGCTCCATTCTGTTTGAACATCTCAGGTTCTACTGGAAACTAACTCTAACTTATTGTTATCCATGATGCACCATGGTAATTTTCCCAACACTACTATTTTTAAATAGGAATAGACTCAATTACTAGGGTTACCTTTACTTGAGGTACATAGGTTCTAAGTTCCTGGATACAGGACATTTACTACATAAAGTAATTCTGAATAGATCAATAACTGAGCAAATTTTAAATTCTGAAACAAACTAGGGACTGCTACAATGCTGAACCTAACTTTTTCAAAAGTATCTAAGAATTTGTTAAAAGCACCAAAAATTTGAAATGTCAGATATGAATCATAAAACTAACCTTTGAATTAATTACGCTTTTGGTAAATCTTGTTTTTAAGATTTCAGCATTATGATTCATTTCCCAAATACAGGAAAATGCCAACCTTAAGGAAAAAAGAGACGGTTATTTGTTTATGGGAATTAATTAATATAGTTAACAAGACACTCTTATAAAAAATGCAGAAATACCTGTCAACATTGGATCTTAAGGAGCATAAGTTAGAGCTAAGCAACTCTGGAACCATGTCAATCCTCTGAAAAAGATGACAACAGACCTTAGGTTACTCAGCCACATTCACACATCTTAATTTCCATCTACAAATAGCATCACGTGAGCAGGAAAGAGGGCAGTGTATTCTTGTAGTTTTAGCTAAATAAATCATGTATTTATTGTGATTGCTCATGAAACTAAAAGTTCCTGGCTTAGCCTTCTAAAAGATGAGGCAGGATAATCAAGAGTTCGAGGCTAGTCCTGGCCTACACATCAAGAACCGGTGTTCATTAAGACAAAACAAAATGCCAAAGTGTTCTGATCAGTAAGATTGTAAATTTAATACATTTACCTTTTCACAAAGATAAACAGTTGTTCCTCTTCTGGCTGATTCTTGATCCAACGCATTTCCTGGCCTGATGAAATGGCTAACGTCAGCAATGTGAACACCAACCTTAAGAAGATTAAAATGAAAGAATGTCAATCTGCATTATTATTATTATTATTATTTTTTTTTAATTTTTCGAGACAGGGTTTCTCTGTAGCTTTTTTGGTTCCTGTCCTGGAACTAGCTCTTGTAGACCAGGCTGGCCTCGAACTCTCAGAGATCCGCATGCCTCTGCCTCCCGAGTGCTGGGATTAAAAGCGTGCGCCACCACCGCCCAGCTCAATCTGCATTATTAATAGCACAGACTAACAATGGAATTTAGCTGAGAAAAAATGTGGCTAAACTGAAAATGGACTCTGTCACAGCTCATAACTCAACCTCTAACATTCCCATTAGTTTTTGTAGCTATAATTTTATATTCTTTTCTCAGTAAGAAGAAACAATGAACCCTAGAAGTGAATCACATTTAGCTAAGAGTACTGAGCCAAAATATACCTCCAAATTTCCATTACTGAGTTTTCTACAATGCAGGGCATCGTCTATGTCAGTACATCCTGGAGGGTCGACACTGCAAACACACAGATGTCTCAGGTCTTCTCGGTTTTTCATGTCCTAGAAAATACCATGTTAAAAAGAAAAAATATTAACTTGAGTAACACAACAGCAACATAGCTCTTAGGAAATAAATATCCCCACAAAAATAAGTTAGATTTCCATGAGGAAACTTGACATATGCCACTAGTTCTACAGTCTGGAAGATGTCATCTCTCAGAGAAAAAAAAAAAATCAAAATATTTGTAGATCACCTAATTGATGGAGCATGGTCCAAGAATGGGGATAAACTGTTCTTGGATTATGCTTTCATGCCCCTCCCAGGTATTGTGGCTATTGAGTTTACTTTGGATTACCCATCACAACTGCTATTGTTATTTGCTTATATGCCTCTATGGGAAAACATGTTTTTGCCGCATTCAGCTTGTTCTTGTGATTGTACTCCTTACTTACGTGATTCTACTTAACACTCGAGTATAAACTGTCTGATGCTCTCAATAAAGTTGTCTACTGCATAAGAGTTTAGTCTGCCTCATTTTTAGGCTCTATTCTCCCAGATTCCACTCTTTTTAGAGCAGTAAACACCTAAAAATGCTGTAACTAAATGTGAACAAGTAACCATGGTTTCTACATATTTAAAAACACATAGAGAAATTACATTAATTACACCCTGATCTGGTGGCTCAGTCCTATATTCCTAGATACTCAGAAGCCCGAGGCAGGAGAAATAAAAGTTCAAGGACTACTTGGGTTACAGAATAAGATCCAGGCCAGCATGGACAACTTAAGATCCCATGGTAAAACAGGGCTGAGGTCTCAGTCCAGTGGTAGAGTGTTTAACGAACCTGTAAAATGCCCTGTGTTCAGACACTAATGAAAACAGCACAGAACAGAAACTCCCTAGGATAACAGACAACCCATAAAGTCACTGACTTCTTTTCAACTCACCTTCTCAGTAATACTCCACGGCATCTTGGGCAGGAAGCTAAGGACAGCCTGGGAAAAGGGCTGATGAGGAACATCATGTTCAAGCAACAGAACTTCTGTTTCTGTCTCTTTTTCTCCAACATCACCTAAATTTTTAACAAAGTGTCCCTGAAATGAAAAGGTATTATCAGAAAGGCACACTTTGCAAATAATATTTCAACACTAAATATCTTCCAGGATTTTTACTCAAGTGTTTCTAAATTTTTCTCTAACAACAAATTAAAAACCCTTTGGCAAGGCAGTGGTGGCACACACCTTCAAACCCAGCACTTGGAAGGCAGATGGATCTCTCAGGTGGAGGGCATCCTGGTCTACAGAGTGAGTTCTAAGAGAGCCAGGGCTACACAGAGAAACCCTGTCTAGAAAAACCAAAAAGGAAACACCACCCCTTGGGCCTGGAGAGACGGATGTGTGGTTAAGAACTCTGTTGATCTTGCAGAGGGCCCAGGTCGGTTGCCAGCACCCACATGGTGACCTACAACTATCTGTAACTGCAATCCAGTAGATCTGACTGCAGCCCCTGCAGGCCTCCCTGTGCCCCTGGCATGTACTGTGTATAGACACCCACGGGCAAAATGTCCATAACAGAAAAGCAAACAAGCCTCTAGAAAACTAAAGGTGAAAATGAAAAGAGCCTGGTTCTTAGACCATAATGCCTATCTATATTTAGTACTCTTTAACCTTAATATTTTCAAAATTTGATTAAAATTTATTCAAGGCACAAATGTTTCTTCCATAAAGTTATCAGTAAATGTTGTTAGGTGACTTGAGTAAAATTAGCCACATGACTTATACTAGAATTATATAAAATTAATCTATACTACTTACTAGGTAAACCATTATTTGTGTACATAAAACTATTACACTTTCACTAAAAATCAACAGTAATTAATTTAACTAAACACATAAAGGTAAAATTACTATTTTAAGCTTACATTTGGATATCTAGAATTTCTAGGCCAACCATCAATAGCGACAATAATTCTCCGTCCTTCTAGTGCAGAAGCCTGTCTGGTTTCTATTCGAATTCGTGGAATTCTCTTATCAGCAGGTGTAAAGAGATGTCTTCTTGACTAGAAAAGAATTTAAAAAAATTATTTGCAGTCTGGGGATCAATCCTAGCATTCCAGCACATGCTATGTAAGTACCGTACCACTGCACTCTAACCCAGGAGAAATGACTGTATGTACACAATTTGAAAAACCCGGCAGAGGAGTGCTAAGTTCCAGTAGGTGAGAATCATTTTCCAATAGTGCTAATAAGTGCTCTACTCACCTCCTTAATATCAGACTTGGAAAGCATGCCGCAATATGGTCTCCAGTTCCTTTTTATTATTCCTACAACTCTACCTGTAGCCCTCAACATTTTTTCACTTACAGCAGTCTTAAGCTGAAATATAAAATGAAAATCATCAATTATTTTTCTTCTAAGTAAGTTTTCTTCCAAATTAGATTCTGCACATGGACACTAATACATTCAGGTAGCAAATAATGACATGACACTCAGAACCATTATGCCTCAAAGTTCTAGACATGAGCTTACCAACTGAACAATGCTTATTGTTCCATAACAAAGCACTCTATAAATGATAAATCAAGAGGCATGTATCTGATAAATATGTTAGAACTCAGTGTTTTCCATTTTAATATAAGGACTTACAAAAACACATGTTAAGTACAGAAATTATGAAACTGAGAGTTAGCAGTTTAGACTAACTAGATACATGTAGTTACTAATTAATTACTATATACTTATTACAGTGAACATGTCATGTTGGATCTAGTCAATTATAAAATAAATGCATCTTCAAATTAATTTATCTCAAATTAAAAGTCAAATAAAGAATGTAAACCATGAGAAATAGATCCTATAAAATTTTACCTCCAGTGACTAGATTCAGCATGAATGCTATAGTCAGACTTCAGGAAATTAGATGTAACCAATGAAAAGAGCTACCCTTTTAATTTAATACAAGAGTGTTACCTCATAAAATGGGTAAGTCGGTCATTTCTAATAGACTTAACACATATGGAGTAACTCAATCTCCCTATAAGCATATTGGTAGAAATGGAATAATTAAGCATGTACAAAGACAAAGATACAAAAGCACATTTTCTAAGGAAATTTTAATACTGCAAAAAAAATTTCAGGAAATTTTACATTTCTATTTACTTAAACTTCATAAATTCAGACCATATCCTAAATATTAACAGACTTTCACTTCCAAACTCAAACAATTCTAAATTAAATACTTATACTCATGCGTAAAATGTCATTAAAAGATGAGTTTGTATACTTAGAACAGAAATCATCTACACACATAACTTGTATAAAATTAAAAGTAGACTTGAGACTGGAGAGATGACTCAGTATTTAAGAATACTGGCTGCTCTTCCAGAGAACCTGGTTTGTTCCCAAATCACACATGGAAGTTTATAACTGTCAGTAATTCCAGTTCCAGGGCTGGGACATCCTTTTCTGGCTTCTGCAGGCAATGCACAGATATGCTACACAGACATCCATGCAGGCAAAATACCCATACATATCAAATAAAAATGAATAAACCTTTAAGAAGAATTTTGAACTGTGATTTCATTCAATAAATATGAAAACAATGGCACGTTAAATAGCACAGCAATCCGGACAAACAAAACCTGTGTTCTCGCATACCATGAGCTCTCTCTCCTCATCTTTCTCCACATCATCTTCCGTTGGACCTTCATCGTGTAAAACCACAGAGGATGGTGCCACCCACTGACTCCTGGGCAGAAGCTCCACGGCCACAATGTCTTCATGAATAGCTCTATTTAGATGTTTAAGTCCTTGTATAAGTATCTGGGCAAACCAGCAAATGGCATGTGTTAAAATAGATTAAATGGCAGTAATGAAAAAGTTCTCTAATAGAGGGCAATATTCTGTATGATACCTAATTCTCTTAATGATTTTCCTATTTTAAAATAATAACCTGAGCCAGGCTTCTTGGGTAAGTAACTACACAAACATTGTTCATCTGAATTTGGTCCCCAGAACCCATGATGGAAGAAGAAAACTGACTTCTGAAAGTTGCCCTTAATTTCCCCATCATACTTTGGTGATGCACTCCCGACCCACATATCCACATCATATAACACAATCTTAACCATTTTAAAAATTAACATAAAAAATGGCATTGTTATTCATTATTATACAGTCTTAATTTTTAAACTTTAAGGAGAAAAATGTTCAAGAAATATGGCTTTTGTTTATGACTTCACCATAAACAATGGTGATTAAATAGTTGGGAAAATCAAACTACTTAAATCTCAAGATCCCGATTGGTGAAAATGAAAACTCAACTACTTTCACGGACTGGGGTTGGTGAAAAGCAGCAAGCCACAAGTCCGACAAATCTGATGAATAGCGAAACACTCGAAAAGCTGCTATCATGTGATGTGAAGCCTTCTTTCTGCTGTGCACTTATTTATTATAGGCAGATATATAAAACAAGAATCTCATTTTAGAATATTTGATGTTTCTCTTAAAAGGCAAGTTAGTAGAAATTTTTTAAATAATCAGTCTCATAATTCATTTATTAGCTGAGCAATGGTGGCACAGCACACGTCTTTAACCCCAGTACTGGAGAGGCAGAGACAAGTGTGATCTCTGAGTTAGAGGTCAGCCTGGTCAACAGACTGAAGTCAAGGACAGCTTGGTTACACAAGTAGAAACCCCTTCTCAAAAACACCACAGCAGTCTGGCGGTGGTGGCGCACGCCTTTGATCCCAGCACTCAGGAGGCAGAGGTAGGCAGATCTCTGTGAGTTCATGGCCAGCCTGATATACAGAATTAGTTCTAAGCTCTAAAGCTACTCAGAGAAACCCTGTCTCAAAAAAAAAAAACAGGAGGAGAGGGGAAGTCCTTTATTATAATAGTGTTTATTACTCTTACCAACTAGAAAGAGAAGGTAAGGTAGAGAAATAGCTATCATAAGGTTTTTCTTGGAAGCATGCAGATCTGAAAAAGCCTACAGACCACAGAAAAATCCTGGGCACAGTAGTTCCACGCCTGTCCCCAGCCCTAATCAGGTGTAAACAGAAGGATCTCTGGAGCTTACTGGCCAGTTAATCCAGCCTAACTGCTGAACTCTAGGACAAAAGAAAGTCTGCAAGGAAATACACCAAACTTCTAAAGCATCACCTGTCCTCTGGCTTATATACTCACAGGTAGATACATGCACATGCTAATTAAAAATAAAAAGTGAGGCAAATTTAAATTCTCATACAAAAATTTTATACCAAATATTTCCATGTATAAAGATATAAAGGTTTATACAGAGGCCAGCAAGACGGCTCATCAGAAATCCTAGGCTTGCCACTAAGCCTGAGAGTTTGAGTTCAATACCTGGGTCTCTCTCTTTGCAAGGAGAGAACCAAACCCTGTCCAAGTTGTTTTCTAACCTTCACTAATAGTGTGCATGCACACATACATACATAAAAATAAAATTTTTAAAAACTTTAAAAGGCAAGCTTTCATACTGTCTTAGTTAGGGTTTCTATTGCTGCGATGAAACACCATGACCTAAAAGCAAGTTGGGAAGGAAAAGGTTAATTTGATTTACACTTCAGCAATGCTGTTCATCACTGAAGGAAGCCAGGACAGGAAGTGAAAGAAGGCAGGATTTTGGAGGCAGGAGCTGATGCACAGGCCAGGGAGGGGAACTTACTGGCTTACTTCCCATGGTTTGCTCAGCCCATCTTGTATAGAACCCAGGATCGGCACCATCCGCTATGGACTGGGCCCTCCTTCACCAATCACTACTTGAGAAAATGTCAAGGCGTCTCCTCAACTGAGGATCCCTCCTCTTGATAACTCTAGCTTGTGTAGACACACAAACCAGCTGGTACACCTACCTACCTCTTTTTCATCTTCTTTGTCTCCGTGAATCCACACTGTAGCTTCTAAATAATTTTCCCTGCTAGCTCTAAATGTTCCTTGAAGGTATGAGCCAGATTTTATGCCTTGTTGGAGCTTACTTAAGGGAAGATGCTCTGAAAATATTATTTTCCCACTTTCTATTTCATTCTGTGAAATAAGCAAATCAAAAGTCTGTTTATTTAATGCACTGCTTTCAAGAGTATCATACAAGTTAAATCTACTTTATAGAATATACAACTGAGAGTGGTGTATATTCCAGACCACCACCGTCTAAACAACTCGCTGCAATGAAAGGGCCATCTTTTTAATGAAGCTCAACATGGCAGCCACTAAGTACAAATTCTGTTGACTAGCTGGATATGTATAATACAGCTGGGAAAATGGGTTTTAAAATTTAAATTACTTTTAAGCACCTACATGAACTAGTAATTAGTTATCATAGAATGCTCCAAATCATATATTCCAAAAAGTCAGCCCAGTTGCATCTTTTAGAATTCTTTTAGTTTTGTAAAATAGTTAAAGACAAATAAGACTGGAGAACAACTGTTAGAGAAACAGAATGAATACACATATCTGGTCCTATTAGATACAGCTACTTTGGTGAAACAGCTGTCATGAAAGAAGATATAAAGTCACCGTTTTCTGTTTTTTTTTTTTTATAGTGGTAGATTAACCATTTAAAAATATATCTGACAGTTAAAGTATGAGATTCAGTGTGAAGTTCCACAGCTTCAGCATGGCTGCTAACTGTACAGAAATCCAATAAAGCTTTGGGTCTTATTAAAAACACTGCAATCCGGGCGGTGGTGGCGCACGCCTTTAATCCCAGCACTCGGGAGGCAGAGGCACTGTGAGTTCGAGGCCAGCCTGGTCTACAGAGCTAGTTCTAGGACAGGAACCAAAAGCTACGAAGAAACCCTGTCTCAAAAAAAAAAAAAAAAAAAAAAAAAACCAACAACAACACTGCTTATTTGTGAGGTCTTAAAATAAAATTTTTAATAAATTAAAATAGCTACCATTTACACTTATCATAGCTATGTGATAAGCAACAAGAGTTACACGAATGGTTACAATTATACTTCATTCAGTTCTAATAATGGTATAGTTATTGCTATTTAGCTTACATACAAAGCCGATGTATTTAGCAGAGTTTATTTCAATAAGCCAATCACAGTTACCTTGTTTACAACCTAACTCTGTTCCTGTCCTCGCTTATTGGCATGTTCTAATTTTTAAATCTTTTGTAACTATAAACCTAATATCCTAGATGGCTATTTTTATACTTTCTTTTCTTCAAAAACAGAACATACTGAAACATACCGTTTCCTCAGACAAGCAAGCAAGGCGATCTATAAGCTCAGGGTTAGCAGTTAGGCTTTTTACATATTCCTCACCTGAAAAAATAAAAACAGTCAATGCTTTAAAACTCAAGAATCTAATTTTATCTAGGCACAAGAGAACATGAATGATCTTGTTTTGATAGTACATCTGCCATTTTTCATACATGAAACAAAAACCAATCTGTTGATGTAATCATGACTGAAAATGGGTCCAACATACATGAATTTTTACTATGTCAACTGCAAATAGTGAGGAAAATAACAGCCACTATTTACAACTGCTTATTAAGCTCACTGACAACTTTAAAATGTAAAAAGAATGCGGGGCGGCAGTGGTGCATGCCTGTAGTCTCAGAACTCAAGAGGCAGAGGTAGGAAGATCTATGCGAACTGGAGGCGACCTGGGTCTACAGATGAGTCCCAGAACAGCTGGAGCTGCTGTTACACAAAGAAACCCTGCCTGAGAAACTAAAAATAGATACAGTAAAAATAATTAAAATAAATAAAAATAAAATGGGGGGCTGGGGAGATGGCTCAGCAGTTAAGAGTACTAACTGTTCTTCCAGAGGACCCAAGTTCAATTCCCAGCACCCATATGGCAGCTCACAACTGTCTGAAGATCCAGTTGCAGGGGATCTGACACCTTCACACCAATGCACATAAAATAAAGTTAAATAAACCATAAAAAATATTNAATTTTTCGAGACAGGGTTTCTCTGTAGCTTTTTTGGTTCCTGTCCTGGAACTAGCTCTTGTAGACCAGGCTGGCCTCGAACTCTCAGAGATCCGCATGCCTCTGCCTCCCGAGTGCTGGGATTAAAAGCGTGCGCCACCACCGCCCAGCTCAATCTGCATTATTAATAGCACAGACTAACAATGGAATTTAGCTGAGAAAAAATGTGGCTAAACTGAAAATGGACTCTGTCACAGCTCATAACTCAACCTCTAACATTCCCATTAGTTTTTGTAGCTATAATTTTATATTCTTTTCTCAGTAAGAAGAAACAATGAACCCTAGAAGTGAATCACATTTAGCTAAGAGTACTGAGCCAAAATATACCTCCAAATTTCCATTACTGAGTTTTCTACAATGCAGGGCATCGTCTATGTCAGTACATCCTGGAGGGTCGACACTGCAAACACACAGATGTCTCAGGTCTTCTCGGTTTTTCATGTCCTAGAAAATACCATGTTAAAAAGAAAAAATATTAACTTGAGTAACACAACAGCAACATAGCTCTTAGGAAATAAATATCCCCACAAAAATAAGTTAGATTTCCATGAGGAAACTTGACATATGCCACTAGTTCTACAGTCTGGAAGATGTCATCTCTCAGAGAAAAAAAAAAAATCAAAATATTTGTAGATCACCTAATTGATGGAGCATGGTCCAAGAATGGGGATAAACTGTTCTTGGATTATGCTTTCATGCCCCTCCCAGGTATTGTGGCTATTGAGTTTACTTTGGATTACCCATCACAACTGCTATTGTTATTTGCTTATATGCCTCTATGGGAAAACATGTTTTTGCCGCATTCAGCTTGTTCTTGTGATTGTACTCCTTACTTACGTGATTCTACTTAACACTCGAGTATAAACTGTCTGATGCTCTCAATAAAGTTGTCTACTGCATAAGAGTTTAGTCTGCCTCATTTTTAGGCTCTATTCTCCCAGATTCCACTCTTTTTAGAGCAGTAAACACCTAAAAATGCTGTAACTAAATGTGAACAAGTAACCATGGTTTCTACATATTTAAAAACACATAGAGAAATTACATTAATTACACCCTGATCTGGTGGCTCAGTCCTATATTCCTAGATACTCAGAAGCCCGAGGCAGGAGAAATAAAAGTTCAAGGACTACTTGGGTTACAGAATAAGATCCAGGCCAGCATGGACAACTTAAGATCCCATGGTAAAACAGGGCTGAGGTCTCAGTCCAGTGGTAGAGTGTTTAACGAACCTGTAAAATGCCCTGTGTTCAGACACTAATGAAAACAGCACAGAACAGAAACTCCCTAGGATAACAGACAACCCATAAAGTCACTGACTTCTTTTCAACTCACCTTCTCAGTAATACTCCACGGCATCTTGGGCAGGAAGCTAAGGACAGCCTGGGAAAAGGGCTGATGAGGAACATCATGTTCAAGCAACAGAACTTCTGTTTCTGTCTCTTTTTCTCCAACATCACCTAAATTTTTAACAAAGTGTCCCTGAAATGAAAAGGTATTATCAGAAAGGCACACTTTGCAAATAATATTTCAACACTAAATATCTTCCAGGATTTTTACTCAAGTGTTTCTAAATTTTTCTCTAACAACAAATTAAAAACCCTTTGGCAAGGCAGTGGTGGCACACACCTTCAAACCCAGCACTTGGAAGGCAGATGGATCTCTCAGGTGGAGGGCATCCTGGTCTACAGAGTGAGTTCTAAGAGAGCCAGGGCTACACAGAGAAACCCTGTCTAGAAAAACCAAAAAGGAAACACCACCCCTTGGGCCTGGAGAGACGGATGTGTGGTTAAGAACTCTGTTGATCTTGCAGAGGGCCCAGGTCGGTTGCCAGCACCCACATGGTGACCTACAACTATCTGTAACTGCAATCCAGTAGATCTGACTGCAGCCCCTGCAGGCCTCCCTGTGCCCCTGGCATGTACTGTGTATAGACACCCACGGGCAAAATGTCCATAACAGAAAAGCAAACAAGCCTCTAGAAAACTAAAGGTGAAAATGAAAAGAGCCTGGTTCTTAGACCATAATGCCTATCTATATTTAGTACTCTTTAACCTTAATATTTTCAAAATTTGATTAAAATTTATTCAAGGCACAAATGTTTCTTCCATAAAGTTATCAGTAAATGTTGTTAGGTGACTTGAGTAAAATTAGCCACATGACTTATACTAGAATTATATAAAATTAATCTATACTACTTACTAGGTAAACCATTATTTGTGTACATAAAACTATTACACTTTCACTAAAAATCAACAGTAATTAATTTAACTAAACACATAAAGGTAAAATTACTATTTTAAGCTTACATTTGGATATCTAGAATTTCTAGGCCAACCATCAATAGCGACAATAATTCTCCGTCCTTCTAGTGCAGAAGCCTGTCTGGTTTCTATTCGAATTCGTGGAATTCTCTTATCAGCAGGTGTAAAGAGATGTCTTCTTGACTAGAAAAGAATTTAAAAAAATTATTTGCAGTCTGGGGATCAATCCTAGCATTCCAGCACATGCTATGTAAGTACCGTACCACTGCACTCTAACCCAGGAGAAATGACTGTATGTACACAATTTGAAAAACCCGGCAGAGGAGTGCTAAGTTCCAGTAGGTGAGAATCATTTTCCAATAGTGCTAATAAGTGCTCTACTCACCTCCTTAATATCAGACTTGGAAAGCATGCCGCAATATGGTCTCCAGTTCCTTTTTATTATTCCTACAACTCTACCTGTAGCCCTCAACATTTTTTCACTTACAGCAGTCTTAAGCTGAAATATAAAATGAAAATCATCAATTATTTTTCTTCTAAGTAAGTTTTCTTCCAAATTAGATTCTGCACATGGACACTAATACATTCAGGTAGCAAATAATGACATGACACTCAGAACCATTATGCCTCAAAGTTCTAGACATGAGCTTACCAACTGAACAATGCTTATTGTTCCATAACAAAGCACTCTATAAATGATAAATCAAGAGGCATGTATCTGATAAATATGTTAGAACTCAGTGTTTTCCATTTTAATATAAGGACTTACAAAAACACATGTTAAGTACAGAAATTATGAAACTGAGAGTTAGCAGTTTAGACTAACTAGATACATGTAGTTACTAATTAATTACTATATACTTATTACAGTGAACATGTCATGTTGGATCTAGTCAATTATAAAATAAATGCATCTTCAAATTAATTTATCTCAAATTAAAAGTCAAATAAAGAATGTAAACCATGAGAAATAGATCCTATAAAATTTTACCTCCAGTGACTAGATTCAGCATGAATGCTATAGTCAGACTTCAGGAAATTAGATGTAACCAATGAAAAGAGCTACCCTTTTAATTTAATACAAGAGTGTTACCTCATAAAATGGGTAAGTCGGTCATTTCTAATAGACTTAACACATATGGAGTAACTCAATCTCCCTATAAGCATATTGGTAGAAATGGAATAATTAAGCATGTACAAAGACAAAGATACAAAAGCACATTTTCTAAGGAAATTTTAATACTGCAAAAAAAATTTCAGGAAATTTTACATTTCTATTTACTTAAACTTCATAAATTCAGACCATATCCTAAATATTAACAGACTTTCACTTCCAAACTCAAACAATTCTAAATTAAATACTTATACTCATGCGTAAAATGTCATTAAAAGATGAGTTTGTATACTTAGAACAGAAATCATCTACACACATAACTTGTATAAAATTAAAAGTAGACTTGAGACTGGAGAGATGACTCAGTATTTAAGAATACTGGCTGCTCTTCCAGAGAACCTGGTTTGTTCCCAAATCACACATGGAAGTTTATAACTGTCAGTAATTCCAGTTCCAGGGCTGGGACATCCTTTTCTGGCTTCTGCAGGCAATGCACAGATATGCTACACAGACATCCATGCAGGCAAAATACCCATACATATCAAATAAAAATGAATAAACCTTTAAGAAGAATTTTGAACTGTGATTTCATTCAATAAATATGAAAACAATGGCACGTTAAATAGCACAGCAATCCGGACAAACAAAACCTGTGTTCTCGCATACCATGAGCTCTCTCTCCTCATCTTTCTCCACATCATCTTCCGTTGGACCTTCATCGTGTAAAACCACAGAGGATGGTGCCACCCACTGACTCCTGGGCAGAAGCTCCACGGCCACAATGTCTTCATGAATAGCTCTATTTAGATGTTTAAGTCCTTGTATAAGTATCTGGGCAAACCAGCAAATGGCATGTGTTAAAATAGATTAAATGGCAGTAATGAAAAAGTTCTCTAATAGAGGGCAATATTCTGTATGATACCTAATTCTCTTAATGATTTTCCTATTTTAAAATAATAACCTGAGCCAGGCTTCTTGGGTAAGTAACTACACAAACATTGTTCATCTGAATTTGGTCCCCAGAACCCATGATGGAAGAAGAAAACTGACTTCTGAAAGTTGCCCTTAATTTCCCCATCATACTTTGGTGATGCACTCCCGACCCACATATCCACATCATATAACACAATCTTAACCATTTTAAAAATTAACATAAAAAATGGCATTGTTATTCATTATTATACAGTCTTAATTTTTAAACTTTAAGGAGAAAAATGTTCAAGAAATATGGCTTTTGTTTATGACTTCACCATAAACAATGGTGATTAAATAGTTGGGAAAATCAAACTACTTAAATCTCAAGATCCCGATTGGTGAAAATGAAAACTCAACTACTTTCACGGACTGGGGTTGGTGAAAAGCAGCAAGCCACAAGTCCGACAAATCTGATGAATAGCGAAACACTCGAAAAGCTGCTATCATGTGATGTGAAGCCTTCTTTCTGCTGTGCACTTATTTATTATAGGCAGATATATAAAACAAGAATCTCATTTTAGAATATTTGATGTTTCTCTTAAAAGGCAAGTTAGTAGAAATTTTTTAAATAATCAGTCTCATAATTCATTTATTAGCTGAGCAATGGTGGCACAGCACACGTCTTTAACCCCAGTACTGGAGAGGCAGAGACAAGTGTGATCTCTGAGTTAGAGGTCAGCCTGGTCAACAGACTGAAGTCAAGGACAGCTTGGTTACACAAGTAGAAACCCCTTCTCAAAAACACCACAGCAGTCTGGCGGTGGTGGCGCACGCCTTTGATCCCAGCACTCAGGAGGCAGAGGTAGGCAGATCTCTGTGAGTTCATGGCCAGCCTGATATACAGAATTAGTTCTAAGCTCTAAAGCTACTCAGAGAAACCCTGTCTCAAAAAAAAAAAACAGGAGGAGAGGGGAAGTCCTTTATTATAATAGTGTTTATTACTCTTACCAACTAGAAAGAGAAGGTAAGGTAGAGAAATAGCTATCATAAGGTTTTTCTTGGAAGCATGCAGATCTGAAAAAGCCTACAGACCACAGAAAAATCCTGGGCACAGTAGTTCCACGCCTGTCCCCAGCCCTAATCAGGTGTAAACAGAAGGATCTCTGGAGCTTACTGGCCAGTTAATCCAGCCTAACTGCTGAACTCTAGGACAAAAGAAAGTCTGCAAGGAAATACACCAAACTTCTAAAGCATCACCTGTCCTCTGGCTTATATACTCACAGGTAGATACATGCACATGCTAATTAAAAATAAAAAGTGAGGCAAATTTAAATTCTCATACAAAAATTTTATACCAAATATTTCCATGTATAAAGATATAAAGGTTTATACAGAGGCCAGCAAGACGGCTCATCAGAAATCCTAGGCTTGCCACTAAGCCTGAGAGTTTGAGTTCAATACCTGGGTCTCTCTCTTTGCAAGGAGAGAACCAAACCCTGTCCAAGTTGTTTTCTAACCTTCACTAATAGTGTGCATGCACACATACATACATAAAAATAAAATTTTTAAAAACTTTAAAAGGCAAGCTTTCATACTGTCTTAGTTAGGGTTTCTATTGCTGCGATGAAACACCATGACCTAAAAGCAAGTTGGGAAGGAAAAGGTTAATTTGATTTACACTTCAGCAATGCTGTTCATCACTGAAGGAAGCCAGGACAGGAAGTGAAAGAAGGCAGGATTTTGGAGGCAGGAGCTGATGCACAGGCCAGGGAGGGGAACTTACTGGCTTACTTCCCATGGTTTGCTCAGCCCATCTTGTATAGAACCCAGGATCGGCACCATCCGCTATGGACTGGGCCCTCCTTCACCAATCACTACTTGAGAAAATGTCAAGGCGTCTCCTCAACTGAGGATCCCTCCTCTTGATAACTCTAGCTTGTGTAGACACACAAACCAGCTGGTACACCTACCTACCTCTTTTTCATCTTCTTTGTCTCCGTGAATCCACACTGTAGCTTCTAAATAATTTTCCCTGCTAGCTCTAAATGTTCCTTGAAGGTATGAGCCAGATTTTATGCCTTGTTGGAGCTTACTTAAGGGAAGATGCTCTGAAAATATTATTTTCCCACTTTCTATTTCATTCTGTGAAATAAGCAAATCAAAAGTCTGTTTATTTAATGCACTGCTTTCAAGAGTATCATACAAGTTAAATCTACTTTATAGAATATACAACTGAGAGTGGTGTATATTCCAGACCACCACCGTCTAAACAACTCGCTGCAATGAAAGGGCCATCTTTTTAATGAAGCTCAACATGGCAGCCACTAAGTACAAATTCTGTTGACTAGCTGGATATGTATAATACAGCTGGGAAAATGGGTTTTAAAATTTAAATTACTTTTAAGCACCTACATGAACTAGTAATTAGTTATCATAGAATGCTCCAAATCATATATTCCAAAAAGTCAGCCCAGTTGCATCTTTTAGAATTCTTTTAGTTTTGTAAAATAGTTAAAGACAAATAAGACTGGAGAACAACTGTTAGAGAAACAGAATGAATACACATATCTGGTCCTATTAGATACAGCTACTTTGGTGAAACAGCTGTCATGAAAGAAGATATAAAGTCACCGTTTTCTGTTTTTTTTTTTTTATAGTGGTAGATTAACCATTTAAAAATATATCTGACAGTTAAAGTATGAGATTCAGTGTGAAGTTCCACAGCTTCAGCATGGCTGCTAACTGTACAGAAATCCAATAAAGCTTTGGGTCTTATTAAAAACACTGCAATCCGGGCGGTGGTGGCGCACGCCTTTAATCCCAGCACTCGGGAGGCAGAGGCACTGTGAGTTCGAGGCCAGCCTGGTCTACAGAGCTAGTTCTAGGACAGGAACCAAAAGCTACGAAGAAACCCTGTCTCAAAAAAAAAAAAAAAAAAAAAAAAAACCAACAACAACACTGCTTATTTGTGAGGTCTTAAAATAAAATTTTTAATAAATTAAAATAGCTACCATTTACACTTATCATAGCTATGTGATAAGCAACAAGAGTTACACGAATGGTTACAATTATACTTCATTCAGTTCTAATAATGGTATAGTTATTGCTATTTAGCTTACATACAAAGCCGATGTATTTAGCAGAGTTTATTTCAATAAGCCAATCACAGTTACCTTGTTTACAACCTAACTCTGTTCCTGTCCTCGCTTATTGGCATGTTCTAATTTTTAAATCTTTTGTAACTATAAACCTAATATCCTAGATGGCTATTTTTATACTTTCTTTTCTTCAAAAACAGAACATACTGAAACATACCGTTTCCTCAGACAAGCAAGCAAGGCGATCTATAAGCTCAGGGTTAGCAGTTAGGCTTTTTACATATTCCTCACCTGAAAAAATAAAAACAGTCAATGCTTTAAAACTCAAGAATCTAATTTTATCTAGGCACAAGAGAACATGAATGATCTTGTTTTGATAGTACATCTGCCATTTTTCATACATGAAACAAAAACCAATCTGTTGATGTAATCATGACTGAAAATGGGTCCAACATACATGAATTTTTACTATGTCAACTGCAAATAGTGAGGAAAATAACAGCCACTATTTACAACTGCTTATTAAGCTCACTGACAACTTTAAAATGTAAAAAGAATGCGGGGCGGCAGTGGTGCATGCCTGTAGTCTCAGAACTCAAGAGGCAGAGGTAGGAAGATCTATGCGAACTGGAGGCGACCTGGGTCTACAGATGAGTCCCAGAACAGCTGGAGCTGCTGTTACACAAAGAAACCCTGCCTGAGAAACTAAAAATAGATACAGTAAAAATAATTAAAATAAATAAAAATAAAATGGGGGGCTGGGGAGATGGCTCAGCAGTTAAGAGTACTAACTGTTCTTCCAGAGGACCCAAGTTCAATTCCCAGCACCCATATGGCAGCTCACAACTGTCTGAAGATCCAGTTGCAGGGGATCTGACACCTTCACACCAATGCACATAAAATAAAGTTAAATAAACCATAAAAAATATTTTAAAAAAATAAAATGTAAAAAGAAAGATGGTCCAGCAATTAAAAACACCTGCTGCTCTTGCAAAGGCCCTGGTTTCAGTTTCCAGGACCAATACAGTGGCTAATAACCATCCCTAATGTACATAATGCACATACATACATGCAGGCAAAAGATTCACATATTAAAAATTGAAAAACATTTAAAGATAATATTCAATTATACAGGAAAATGATATTCTGAGTCATGTGAACATATGGCCCAATACTAATTTTTATATACAGTTGCAAATATGCATAGAAGTGTTTACATTCAGACCTACATGTGAAAGATGGGATTCCTTCTTCTACAGCTTTTTCTTTGTTTTTCTTGTCATTTGTTATAAGGATAACTTGCAGCTGGTTTTCTGCTGATATTTTCTTCAAATGTTCGTTGTACCATTTTGCTGCTACTCGAATGGCTCTGTCATTTCTGTCATTAGCATTTTCTCCCTGTTCTTGTTCAATGTAGGTTTCTCTAAATGTGAAGAGGCAAACCATGAAATAAAAGTTAACGAGCAAAAACAAAGATGTATAAAGCCTTCTGAGACATAAATGTTTGACAGCAGCTAAAAAGCCAGTGGTATACATATTTGGTTGAAATTTATATGGTCAGAAAAATTCTGTTAAGATCCTTTGAAGTTTTCAAGACAATTCTCTTGATGAAATTTATGCTATTAGTAGGAAAATACAGAGGTTCAAATAGTTTGATTTCATAAAAAGAAAATTAGAAGCCGGGCGATGGTGGCGTATGCCTTTAATCCCAGCACTTGGGAGGCAGAGGCAAGTGGATTTCTGTGAGTTTGAGACCAGTCTGGTCTACAGAGCTAGTTCCAAAGCCACAGAGAAACCCTGTCTCGAAAAACCAAAAAGAAAAGAAAGAAAATTAGATCAGAATTTAGACTTCAAACGGAGATGTGCTGTGTAAATGTTGTATGATGTTTTACTTTTTGGGGAGGGACCCACCACACAGTTCCCAAATAAATACACAGGGGTTTATCATTACTTATGAATGCCTGACCTTTTGGCTTATTTCTTGCTAGCCTTTCTTATTTAAGTTATCCCATCTATATTCAGCTTCAGGACTTTTATCTTTCTCTATTCCTATATCCCTTCCTTTTCTTCTTATTCCGTGTCTGGCTGTGTAGCTGGGCGGCTGACCCCTGATAGCCTCCTCTCCTTGTCCACTTGCTCTTCGTCCTCATTTCTCCTTCTATTTAAACTCTCTGCCTGCTAACCCTGCCTATCCTTGCTCCTGTCTTTAATGGTCGTTCAGCTCTTTATTAGGACCATCAGGTGTTTTAGACAAGCAAATCACAGCTTCACAGAGTTAAACAAATGCAGCATAAACAAAAGTCACACACCTTAAAATAGCATTCCCCGGCAGGGACGTTAATAGTTTACTGGGTAAGAGGGATTAATAGAACTTTGGAGACCAGATAATAAAACTTTACTCAACAAACCACAGATTACCAGTCAACTGCTAGGCTCTACAGTGACTGTAGATCACTGTGTGATCACGTGTTTCAATGGCCATTCACTACATGATCCTTTTGATCATTCGTGGTAATCACTAAATCCATAGCAAAGCCTAGGTAGACCCCACAAGGCCACGGCTCTCAAATGAGACTGCACTTCCATATTTCTTCAGGTCTGCTCTCCAAAGCCATCCTCTCAGCACTACTTTACTCCCTACCATTAACTGTATTGCTACTGCTTCCGCGGTGCGTCCAACACACGTAACATTCTGGTGCACAGGGCTCCTCTGGTTACAAATCTGATAAATCTAAGCAAATCTGATAATCAGTAAATACAATGGTCATTAAGTTTGAATTTGGTTTTAATGTGACAGACTTAAGAAACAAAATCCATATGAGATTTGCTTAGTGTCCTAAAAGTCTTCCAATATTGCTAAGTCCTACTCAAAGCACGTGAACTAAGAAATCTTGCTAAGCCTCCATTAGGAATCTGATGAGCACGTTCCATACAACCTCAGGCTGGTTCCAGGAAACAAGTGGTTCTGTCTATGGAGTCTAAGGCGATGCAATGACTGAGTAGCCCACAGACACTTTTATTCTGTGTATATGGGTGTGCATGCGTGCACGTGCGTGTTTAAGCAATACTTAAGTTTCAAGATACAAGAAAGAGCTACATCTGACAGGGTATGAAAACATGTGGATGATTAAACTTGGCACTACTTGTATACACATGGCATAGGCCAAACATGCTACTAAGCACCTCTAACCTGTAAGATAGATTTCATACAACAAAAAAACTACTTAGTCCACAACGTCAATAATGTCAAGGTCGAGAAAGTGACTTTCATTAGATAACCACTGTACACTATCTGTGATAACAAGCAATCCCATATGTTCTGAAAGCACCCACACATTTAATTCAAAAGTCATGAACCTAAATTATAATAAAGGACTGCTTTTTGAAATCCAAATTTAATAAATCAGCTGTAAGATATTAGTTTAAATTTTAAAGCTTATTTTTTTTTTTTTTTTTTGGATTTTCGAGACAGGGTTTCTCCATAGCTTTCCTTTTGGTTCCTGTCCCAGAACTAGCTTTTCTAGACCTGGCTGGCCTGGAATGCACAGAGATCCGCCTGCCTCTGCCTCCCGAGTGCTGGGGATTAAAGGCGTGCCCACCACCGCCCCGCAATTTTAAAGCTTATTAATCGTACGTTCGTTTTTAAAAATCTTTTTCCACAGACTCACTCCTTTTGTACCAGCTGTATGCTATTTATATACACGGCATCGCAGGAGCCCAAATGATCTCATCTCCAAAGAGCCATCATTCAGCTCAATATACACAACTTACACCAGGACTCTGACATAAGGACTATGATAGCTAGTAGATCGAGTTTAAGGTGTGAGCCCACTAACACTGGGACCTTACCTGAGTCCCACTTAGCAGCGTCTTCCACACAGCCAAGTACAACCCGACAGCACACAGAACTACAGATCAGCTTTGACAAATGAATTCCCAGGCACTTTCTTGGTTTGTTTGTTTCGTTTTTTTCAAGACAGGATTTCTCTGTAGCTTTGGAGCCTATCCTGAAACTAGCTTTTGTAGACCAGACTGGCCTCGAACTCACAGAGATCCCCCTGCCTCTGCCTCCCCAGCGCCCAGGCACTTTCTTATAACCTTCGGTAAAAGCCTACGGTCTTGTGAGACTTACTTATGGTGCTCGTTAGTGAATGTGTAAAAATGCTTCTCCCGGTTATTCGTCACATCCCTGATCCGCTTATAGATGGGGGCACTCCGGTTTCTCACTTCCTGCAGGACTGTCTGGAGCACAATGACATTCCTGATAGCTGGGTCTTCCAGAACATCAATCTTAAAAACAAAAGCAAAAAGTTAATTTTCCCCATGTTCACGTAGAAACTGTTCCTGTCAAGCCTAAAATCTTGACAGTTTCATACACCGGCTCTCCGTTGGGCCAAAGTGTCACTTTGCTGTAGAACAAGTGACAACAGTCACTCGGCCCTGTAGGCTTGAGAAGAGCACCCGCAAACGGACCACAAAAGTTTGCAGTATTAAAACTATTAACAAATAAATCTGCTGGCCCACAGAGTTTTTGTTCGTAGGCACTTACAAGCTGCCTGGGGGTCGCAATCTGGAGGCCACAGAAGCCCAGGTCCCCGGCTTCCAGGCACTTATAATCTAAAGTAGAAGAGACACCAGGAGTTAGAAAATTAACGTGTCGAAAACTACGACTCCAAGAACCGAAAAAAAAAATGGAAATAAATAAAACAACAACGTTAGGGAAATGTACCTCGGCCTGGACAACTGGAAGCGAGGGTGGCCTTGGTACCTGCCTCTCCATCCCGAGACCCGCCTCCCTCGGTTTCCCTATCTGCCACGCCCCCTTGTCACCACGCGGCCCGCCGGCCCACGCACCTGGTGCAGCAGCACGTTGGTGTCCGGCAGGAGGTAGTGCGGCCACGGGCAGAGGCTGCTCGCCTGGTCGCCGGGCTGCGACTCCAGGGCCGGGGCCGCGTGCGCCCCGTCGCAGGCCGCGCAGGCCGGGGCCCCGCAGCCGATGTCATCCCGCAGGTAGTGCTCGCGCACGATCTTCACCACGCCGCCCGCGCGGGTCTTTTTTAAGAACGTTTTGGACTTGAGCATCTTGGCTCCCGGCGTAGAATCCGGACCCGGGCGGAATGCCGACCGCTACAGAACTCTGGCCGAAAACACTTCAAGTCAGAAGCGGAGGAGCCTTACCAAGCCGCCCCTTGCAGTTCCGCCTCTTCCCGCGAGCTGCTAAATACGCACGTCTCGCGAGAAAACACGACACGCCTGACTGGTCGTGTTAGTCTCTTGATTATCGAGGCGATTGGACCACAGTATATATTTCCTCCCGCAGCTGGGCGGGGTTCGTCTCCGGACTACCACTCCCAAAGTGCACCGCTTCGAATTGGCTTCCGGGAAGGGAGGGCTTAGGCACCTTCGCGCCCTAGCTCTTTCCGATTTCTTCTCTGACAGGGCGGGTGGTTGTCTTGGTGACTGCTCCCTAACGGTCTGGTGACCCCGAGATACTTGTAGAGGGTTTGCAGCACTGAAGACGCCTGTGGTTCCTCCAAGTGTCCGAGGTGAGGCTGGTTTTAGCCTTGTATGCGGAGTTACTGACGCTGGAGAGGTACGCGTGGTACAAAGATGCTAAAATGCATCAAGTTTAGAATTTATAAATTTCTTAGCCAAAGAAGGAGAAGCCCGTCCCTGGTCCTTTGTAACTCGGGCGAGGATTTCTCTTTGGCTACACCTTTCTTCATGCCTTCCTTTAAAAAGGAAAGAGGTGGATCGTACTGTAGCTCTTCCTGTCCCCCACCACGCACACCTCCTTCCTCACCTTTCCTTTTAGAAGAACTGAAATGTCTAATTCTATGGACATTTTACCAAATCGTGTACTATTTAAACAAAGGCGTTAGTAAAGTTCTTCAGAAGGCTAAGATGTGCTATTTAGAATATTCGAAGTTTTCCTCTTTTAACCTCTCTGTTTTTCCAAGTTATTTAGAAATGTTATTGTCTCGATGTGAGCTTGTCTTCAGACTTCCAGTGATTTCTTGCTTGTTAAATAAACCTCATGTGTATCCCCAGACAGTCTGATGTCGCCTCCGCTCTTGTTTTATATATCCTCTTCCTCCGTACAAATCTTGTCCCGTGTGTTCACAGATCCTTCCAGATTTAACTGCTTCTGTACAATCTTACACGGACAAAATCAGAGTCATTCTCTCCTGGAGCTTGGAGTTCTTGGTATGAATGGGCTTTACCCTTTCTCTTTTACACGACTTTATTTTTCTTTTTCCTTCAAATTAAGATTCTTGCTTTGTAGGCATGGTGGTGCACATCTTTAATCCCAGCAGGAGGCAGAGGCAGACAGATCTCTGAGTTCTAAGACATCCCAGGGCTACACACCCTGTCTCGAAAAACAAAAGCAAACAAACAAAGATTATTGCCCCAAGTTTATGTGTGTGTCTGAATGTATATACACACACACGCACATTCATACATATATGTGTATGTATATATGTGTATATACATACACATATTTATTTAAATTGACCAAAGGGCTGAGTTCATGATAGGATTTAGTGAATCTATCTTTGATTTGAGCACTAATTCACAGTAGTGATCGGGCTTAGATTTGGCATCTTTCAGTGCCCAGTGAAATCAGCAATCTTTAGTAAATCATCAGTGCATTATATGTTATGTAGTAAATTTTCGGTATATTTAAGTTTATTTCCTTTTACTCTACAGAAGATTGATCCAGAATAATAAAATGTCTCGAAAAATGCCCAAGGAGTCAAAAAAAGTAAACATTTCTAGTTCTCTGGAGTCTGAAGATATTAGTTTGGAAACAACCATTCATACAGATGACATTTCCTCATCAGAAGAGCGAGAGGGTAAAGTCAAAATCACCAGGCAATTAATTGAAAGAAAAGAAATGCTTCATAATATTCAGCTACTGAAAATCGAGCTATCCCAAAAAAATATGATGATCGACAATTTGAAAATGGATTATCTCACAAAGGTAAGAACAGATGCAAACTTTGTTGATTTTCCTACCTTGTTGTATTTAAACAAGATAATTAAGAAGCTGGTATGTAGGCCAGTTGTGGTAGCACACACCTTTAATCCCAGCACTCTGGAGGCAGATCTCTGTGAGTTCTAGGCTAGCCTAATTTACATGTGAAGTCCAGGACAAGCCAGGGCTATGTAAAGAGACCCTGCCTCCAAAAAAAAAAAAAAAAAAAGAAGAAGAAGAAAGAAAGAGAGGGATTTGTTAGACTGTAAATAGTATACTATATGTGACATTGCTTTTCCAGTACTACCTTTTTATACTTTGCATATTGAAAATCAGGTGGGTTTTTTGTTTGTTTGTTTGTTTGTTTGTTTGTTTTGATTTTCGAGACAGGATTTCTCCATAGCTTTTTGGTTCCTATCCTGGAACTAGCTCTTATAGACCAGGCTGACCTCAAACTCACAGAGATCCGCCTGCCTCTGCCTCCCGAGTGCTAGGATTAAAGGCTTGTGCCACCACCGCCCAGCTTATTGGCTAATTCTTACATCCAAATTTAACCCATTTCTATTAATCTGTATATCAACACATGCCAGTGTCTTACCGGGAAAGATTCAGCATGTCTGACTCTGGCAGTTCCATGGCAGCTCTCTGACTCTGCCTTCTTCCTCCCAGCATTCCGTTTAATTTTCCCCACCTACCTAAGTTCTGCCCTATCAAAGCCAAAGCATTAACCAATACAAACCACACATAGAAAGAAGGACCTCCTATACCATTAGCCATAATAAATAGTGAGTGATTGCGAGACACATTGCGTTGGTATTGCTACTTCTGTTCCTAGGAAAACGATTTCCTCCTGACAGTGAACTAATTTTACTGTTGTTCTTAGCTGTTCCAACTTTAGTCCCTCCGTCCAAAAGTGTATTTTTGTTTCATTTATACTGTGTCTTGTTAACTTGCTCTCCTATTTTAGTTCTGTGGTATGTATACTAAGCTACTACAGTGTCCTGCTAGAAAAATATATTTACTTTGGGCCAATGAGATGATTGCTGGGTAAAGATACTTAACCATGCAAGCCTCGGGACCTGAGTTCCATCTGTGGGCTGCATAGTGAAGAGAGAACTAACTCCTGAAAGTTGCCCCGCACACACACACTCGCACACATACACACAACTTAGAGTAAAAAGGAAGGGCTGAAGGGATGACTAAGCAGTTAGCAGCACTTACTACTCTTACAAATGACCTGGGTTCAAATTCCCGAACCCACAGTTCCAGGGGACCCAGTGATGTTTTCTGGCTAGTGAGGAACCAGACACAAACATGGTACACAAACATACACATGGGTAAAACATTCACACACATCAAAATCAAGTAAATCATAAAATATAATGATATGGGATTCACATCTGTATGCTGAGAATACTATTGGTTAATAAAGAAGCTGCTTTGGGCCAATTATAGGACAGAATAGTGTTGTAATAGGAGCTGTGGGCTGTGTTCTCTGCCACCCAGCTCCCGCCACAGGCTAGATTTACCCGAAACAACAACACACAAATTGTATTCATTTAAACACTGCTTGGCCCATTAGCTCTAGCCCTTACTGGCTAATTCTGATATCCCGATCAACCCATCTCTAATAAACTGTGTAGCACTGGTCTTACCGGGAAAGATTCATCATGTCTGACCTGGCAGCTTGCTTCATCGCGTGCGACTGTCCGGGAGAGGGGAGCATGGCCTCTCTGAGCTCACTTCCTCTTCCTCCCAGCATTCTGTTCTGTTTACTCCACCCACCTATGTTCTAACCAATAAAATGGGCAAGGCAGTTTCTTTATTTTTTAACCAATGACCTTCCTCCATCATTTCCCCTTTTTCTGTTTAAACAAAAAAAGGAAGGCTTTAACTTTAACACAGCAAAATTACATATAACAAAACAGTTATCAAGTAAAAATTACAATATTTATATCTATTTTATCTTTATCATAACTAAGGAAAACTATAACTATTCTTCAACTCCATCAAAGACTCCAGAAAGGTACAATATTACCTAAGCAAACAATAAATAAGCAACTTTCAAACTCTAGAAATGACAGAGACATCTCGCTGCCTGGACAGTCACCCAAAGTTCCTCTGTACCATTGGGGCATCCATCTTCGGCCTACAGGCCCATAGTTTCCAGCAGACATTTCCACAAAGCAGGAAATTTCAAAGGCAGTCACTATCTGCTTGTCCTGAAGAATGTCTTGCAGACTCTTTCATGAATCAGGAACCCCGAAAGATCATCTCACCTTTAGGCAAGTTCAGCAGTCCTCTCTCTGCGGGTTCTCTGTGTCCAGTTTATGCAATAGTCCAGGCAAGAGCAGTTTCTTGCCCAAATGGCTATCAAACTCCATAAGGATCCTCTTCGATGCCCATCTTCATCATGAAGTAGATTGGTGCTGCCAGGAGCAGAGTGTCTCATTGTCATGAAAAGTCCTAAGTTATTAAAACATTTAAAATGCCATATTCTATAATCTTTGAAAGATATGAAGAATGCCTATCTAAGATATATCTATGTACATCTAGAAAATCTTAATTAACATGACTACAAACTTGACTATTATGATTATCTATTAACCTATATACATTACATTTTTAAGTGAACTATACAATCTCAATACCTTAATCAAGATCAGAAATACATATACATATAACAAAATTGACCTTAAATCTCTATCAATAAAGCAAAATATATACTAATGCAAATTATTCATATCTATATCATATCCCCTTTTAAATGTAAAAGAATGTTTATAAACCATATTTGGGAACATGGGCGCAGTTTTTTCTCTCCAAACTGCTTCCTGCTGAATGGGGGCATTGTTAATTAGGTCTTTCATGGTATAACCTGTGTGCTAGTTTCATCTCAGTTGGCAGTTGAGTGAAGCAATTTTCTGAAGGTGTTCACAGCAACCCTTCAGGAGGGTGTGGTCCATCATACCATATTGGAATAGAAGCAATCCACAGACTTTCACTCTCTGTGAAAACAAAATAAGAAACTCCTTTCCAAAGCATCATTTCCTTAGATCCAAATTTCAAAGTCAAGGTATTTTCAAAATATCTATGTTGGATTAGTTCAACAGTATTTATAAACAAATATCTTTTAGCATCTGTTGCTCCTTCCTCAGCATTCAAACAATTCAAAGCATAATAGCATACAGTATCAATATTCTCTGTGTATTTTCCATCTTTGTGCAGCTTTATTTTAACTCTGTTTCATTTATTTTTACTTTTATTTTTTGCTTTTTGAGACAGGTTCTCTGTATCTTTGACCTGGAATAACTCTGTAGACCAGGCTGTCCTTGAACTCTCCAGAGATCTACCTGTGTCTGCCTCCCAGGCATTGGGATTAAAGGTGTATGCTACTGTACCCTGAACTCACAGATCTGTTTGTCTCTGCCTTCTAGGCACTGGGATTAAAGGCGTGTGCTACCACACCTTGAAGTCACAGAGGTCAATCTCCCTCTGCCTCCCAAGTGTTGGGATTAAAGGTGTGTACTACCACACCCAACTACCCTCTTTCTTCCTTTTTTTATTTTTACTTTTAAGAACTTTTAACTTTTAGCTTGCATATATTTTTTTTAATTTTATTGAGAATAAGAAAAAAAAGTTTCCGCCTCCTCCCAGCCTCCCATTTCCCTCCCCCCCCC